ATGGGACTGATAAAAGTTTAAATACGGCTATTGACACCCTAAATGATTTTATAAAATGTCATGATTAAAAAAATATATTGATAAAACAAAAGCAATATGGATAGGCTCAACGACAGACTGTAACATCAAATTCTGTCAGGATCTGAAACTAGACTGGCACTGTGGTGCTTTTGAAATATTAGGAATAAAGCTTAATTCTAACTTAAATAATCTGTGGGTAATGAATGGAATTATTAATAAAATTTTAGGGAATGGAACGAAAAGAAATTTAACATTTATAGGTAAAATTACTGTTGTCAAAACCTTGGCCCTGTCAGCCTCAGAGCATATATTTTCCTCTCTTCCAAACCCTCCAAGTGAATTTATTGATGAACTAAACAAAATATTTTACAGATTTATCTGGAATGGTAAATGGGATAAAATAACACGAACAACATAAATTAGAAAATAAACTGAACAAAAAATATCCTGTGATATTGGATGAGATTTAATGCAAAGTTATGTTTTTTTACCAAATCTGAAACAATTTCGGTTTGCAACAGATAAAAGACTCCTGTAAGTGTTCAAATGGTTTAATTTACCATACTCACTTCAGAAAATGCGTGATTTCATAAAAAACAAAAACATGCCAAAATGTCAATTTACAAATCAAAAGCGTGTCTGTCCACCTCTGGTTGCGATGCAAGCAACACATCTTTGTCTCATGGAATGGGCCAGGCGTCGCACAAAGTCCTGTGGGATATCTGTCCATATCTGCTGGAGCATGTTTCGAAGTTCCTAGGGTGTCTGTGGAACACGTGGTTGACGTCGAAGGCGCCGATCCATTTCATCCCACATGTGCTCGATCGGTGAGAGATCAGGGGAGCGAGCCGGCCAGGGGATGACATTCGCGTTGTTTTGTTGAAGATAATCCTGAACAGGTCGAGCAATATGAGGCCGGGCGTTGTCATGTTGAAAGGTAATGCCTGGGCCATGACGACGCAAAAACGGTAGAACAACAGGGCCGATGATCTCGTCGAGGTAGCGCTGTCCATTGAGATATCCCTCTACCACTATCAAACGGGTCCTCTGTCTTGCTGTAATCCCACCCCATACCATAACGCTGCCGCCCCCGAACCGATCTTCTCCCATGACACAATGATTGACTTAACGTTCACCTCGACGTCGGTACACTCGAATCCGTCCATTGCTGTGGATGAGGTGAAAACGAGACTCACCAGTGAATAGAACTTGTCCCCACTGCATGACTGTCTGCGCCACTGTAGACGTGCTTGACGGTGGTTTTCTGCCAGAATGGGACGTCTGGCGGGTCTTCTGGCGACAATTCCTGCACATCTGAGGCGACGACGTACGGTTTGTGAAGATATTCGTCGAAGGCCAGGGATGCTTCTTGCAGTCACTGTTGCTGGCTGGAATCGCTTTCGTAGGTGTGTTGTTCGAATCCATTTGTCATGTCGATTATTGGTTACGCCTGCCACTCCGAGGATGGTCTCTGACTGCATTCGTCTGTTGCCAACGTTGCCATAAACACAAAATGGTGTTTCCGTGGACGTTAAATTGTCTTGCAACATCACGTTGACTCGATCCTGCTTCAAGCATACCAATGGCTCGCAGACGCTCATTTTCGGACAGGCGTGGCATTTCGTAATGTTGAATAATTGCGTAATTTTGTTGTTTCTTCTGAGTGGTTGTTGTCAGCACGATGCTAAACAATGCTTTGTTTTTAATACGTGTTTTTATACCCATTCTTGGGTAGTGAAATGCATGGGACTTGCATAAAAGTCAACTTTTGCATGGAATGCATGCTTTTCTTTAGGAGTTGCGTTTTTGTGACTTGATTCCATACATGTACTACAATATTGAAAACCAAACTTTACTTGTTTGAAAAAAACTACTAAAATATTGGTGTCACAGGAACTTTTGTTGTTGAGTATATGACGAAGGAAGACTGATAATGATAGAGGTAAGGTCTTTTATAAGTTCTTTAAAAGTTTAAGTTCCACACACAAAAAAATCAAATAAAAAAACTGTAATAACCCTGGCATATTTCCACTAAAAAACATATTACTATTTGGGGGCCAATATTGAAAACTATATACACTTAGCTTATCCTTACTGGAGAGATGTTTTGGCTGCTTGGGGAACATTTTATAGAAAACTCAACAAAGATTAGAGAAGTACTATCAGAACCTCTTTGGTGTAACCATCAGTTTTAAAAAACTGAATTCATTATAAGAAATTCGGAGTTTTTAAAGTGAGTTTACAATATCAAAGATCTCTGTAATATATATATATATATATATATATATATATATATATATACTGGTTTCACGTGCAACTGGTCACGTGGCCATAATACCACACGTGTTTTCAGCCATACTTGTTAGCAGTCATTAACAAAACAAAAGTCTTTACGGCCATTTGTCATGCCACGCCTTTCAAATGTGCAACGTGAACGTGCCATCGGCATGTTGCAGACGGGAACCTCGCAAGGACGATAGGTTGTAGTCGACGAGACTGTTTATGATTTACAGACGCGTCTACAGCAAACGGGTACCACCGCTGATCGCCCTCGGCCAGGTCGACCACGTGTGACGTCACATGCAGAGGATCGTCAGATTGTCTTACGTCACCTCCGTAACCGATTTTTGACGGCTACATCAACCAGAAATGAACTGTTAAGGGGTAGACTGAGTGCGCAAACTGTTCGAAACCGTCTGAGAACTGCTCACCTTCAAGCACGACGGCCATACTGCGGGCCGATTCTACTCAATTACACAGACGTCAACGTCAATTGTGGGCACAGCGACACTTACGATGGACTCAGAGGTATTGGAATCAAGTCGTCTTCAGTGATGAATCCCGATTTAATCTTCGATTTGCTGATGGTAGGGCGAGGGTGTGGAGGCGCCGTCATGAACGTTACGCCCAGTGTTGTGTACAGGAAGTTGACAGATTTCGAGGCGGAAGTGTCATGGTGTGGGGTGCTTTCTGTGGCAATGCACGTTCCAGGCTTCTTGTCATCCGTGGCAACCTCAACGCTGCTGCTTACCGCGACCAGGTACTGGCACCAGAACTTCTGCCTTTTATGGCAGCCCATGGACCCGGTTTTATCTTCCAACACAATAATGCCAGACCCCACACAGCAATTTTGACACGGAATTTCCTTCAGAATGCGGGAGTCAACGTCATGGACTGGCCGTCAAGGTCTCCCGACCTCAATCCCATCAAACACGTATGGGATGCTCATGGCAGAAGTCTGCGCACTCTCCAGAACCAACCACAGAATTTGCAAGATCTTGGCACCATTTTGCAGCAACAATGGCGTCGTCTTCCCAATCATGTGTTCACAAGCATCACAAGGTCCATGCGGGGGCGTTGTGTGGCAGTTGTCAACTCACATGGTGGCCATACACGCTACTGAACTTGTGTGCCATCAGATTCTCGTGCGTGGGACTTATGATTTAAACTGTTAATGTTATTACCGAATACCGTAGGTGCTTGGAACAAATTATGGTTACCGCCGTTAATTAAAATCCTTCTTATATTTAAGCAATACAGACCGCCTCCGTGGTCTAGTGGTAGAGCGACCGCCCGGAGAGCGGAAGGTCCGGGGTTCGATCCCCGACCGCGTCATACCAAAAGACGTTTAAATATGGTACTTGTTGTTACCCTGTCTGGCGCTCGGCTTTAAGGGGCTTAAACAAGGACTGGTCGGCTCGGAGTCGGAGTATACTGTGTCTGAGTGGGGTATTCATGTTAAAGTGCGGCATGGTATCTCAGTGAGCTAGCACTATAAATCGGCATCAGTCCGGACTAGTACAAGCAGCCACATACACACACACACGTGCATGCACGTCGCTATGTAAGTGAATAATCTTGGACGCGACGTTAAACCCCATTTCACCTCACCTCCAGTTCATACATACGCTCGCTCTGTCGTGTCAGATTCGTCCCGACACGGGTGACCGAAGTCATTTACTCACTCGTAGAATCAGCTCCCGTGTAAAGGGAAACAACATCCGTATCAACATTTCTCAAACATTTATTAAGCAATATTCAAGCATTACATCAAGCAGCACGACAATCACGGGTAAAACCTTGCACAGTCGGATACGTATGTACGTGACACAACACACATGCATTAAACACATATTACAATAGATAGATTCCTTATTCAAATAGTGTACACAAAAGAATATTGATTGTGGTTGGTTTTCGGGTAGTTCTTTTTGCTAACATTATATAAAAACCTATCCTCGTGTCGTGACCGAATAGTGATAAATAATATCCGGTTATATTTAGTATTGGGAGAAGACAACAGAGACTCACACATGGTTTCAATAAAAAATGTTGTCGCGGGTGGCACAGGCTGACCCAATTCACAATGGAGAGTTGTTGCATATTTAGAGTGGAAAGTTCGTGCAAGGATTTGATAATCGTAGGTGTGAATCCAAGACTGGACCTAAAATTTTACCTGGCTATTTTCAGCACAATGCCAATGCTCGTGGCTATACTAAAGGTCATCGACCTGCATCAGTTTAGACTTTCGCCCCACATTACACTAACACCCACCCCAGCCCTGCCCCCCACATAGCAGAAATACCGTGACTTTCGTCCCACATAACACTGACACCCACCCCAGCCCTGCCCCCAACACAACAGAAATACCGTGACTTTCGTCCCACATTACACTTACAGCCACCCTAGCCCTGCCCCCAACACAACAGAAATACCGTGACTTTCGGCTCACATTACACTGACACCCACCCCAGCCCTGCCCCCAACATAGCAGAAATACCGTGACTTTCGTCCCACATTACACTGACACCCACCCCAGCCCTGCCCCCAACATAACAGAAATACCGTGACTTTCGTCCCACATTACACTTACAGCCACCCTAGCCCTGCCCCCAACACAACAGAAATACCGTGACTTTCGGCTCACATTACACTGACACCCACCCCAGCCCTGCCCCCACTATAACAGAAATACCGTTTGTAATCGTGGTGAACACAACTTACTCACTCTAATAAAGTCTCCCTATGAAGATGTGATCGGAACGGTGCATTGATAGTAAAGGATAAGCTTGATGGACAAATATAGCTTCAAGTCGATAATGGTGACACGGGAGAGTGTATTTGTACAACTGCATACACGGTCAACACGTAGACAAAAAACATTACAACTGCTCAACATAAAGATAGTATATCGCTGTGGTACCAAACAGAACTGAGATGTAGATCTTATATCGTGGACTGCGGCATAAAACAATATCCATTCAGATAACTTCTGTGGTAGATAGGCATATGTAACGTGTGTTTCCAGTTTTGCTAGCAACCTCAAACAGTAACATGGGCTGAAGAACCATACACAATGGAACCTCGTTAGTCCGGACCCTGTTAATCCGAAACCCAACCTTTCATCTGGAAACATTTACATGTTAACAAAGTGACATTACTTTGTAACCTTTTTTCGTTAATCCGGAAATTTAAAATCCGGATAAACGGGGTTTCACTGTTCATCGTTTTTCCATCGTCCTTGGAACCTTCAACATTCTTTCAAACGGCGTCATAGCATGCTCAAAGATACAGTAATAATCGTGACAGTGAGAGTGTTGCAGTGACTAGGAAAGCATGGAGCAGGGAAACCATGTACCTCTACACTATGACGACGTAGTGAGTTAGACGGGTATTATGAACATGTAGATACTTTTGCAATCTTCGGTGCTGACGCTATCAGCAAGAACCCAGGCAATATCATATCTGTGGTGAGGATTCGTCTGACAGTCATCCAGCATGCTCCACCAGGCTCCTCTATGCCACTCGGCACACGGGTAGGCTGAATTGTTGCAGTGGTCCTTGGCACAGAAGTGACTCCCATCCAGGGTTCTAGCTGGGTCCCCGAGGTTGAAGCGGTCTCCAAAAACGCTATCACCTGTAAAACCCGACACCGACAGCTGATACTCCGAGGCCTCGTCACCGACGTAGAAGGCACTGTAAGACATTTGACCGGGAGTGGTATCAAATTTCTTCAAGGAAATGAAAAGCTGATAAGGTCGGACACTGGTCAGAGCGTGTATCTTCTCTAGGCCCAGCCACATGTAGCAGTCGGAGTGGTTGAACCCAGACTTGTAGTCGGCCCAGGGGACGTCGAGGTACGTCACGGGTGTCGCCTCGCAGCCACTGATGGTTTTGTCCCTGAACATCATCATGGTACTGACGCCTTGACATTCCAGGTTAAACGGTTGTGCGGAGATGGTCGGCCAGACAGTGTAGATGCCAGGAGAGTTACTAACATGCAGGGAAACGTCTGTACAGTCTGCAACGGGGAAATGATATTTTTACAAACTAGTCATTGATGATGGATAATGTTACGAGAGGGCTACAGAATATTGGACACAAAATAGAATAAAAATATAAGTTTCACCAGTATGAAATGTCGTGGATTGGAACCACATTTGTTCTTCAGCTCACATTGATATTCGTTATAAACTGAAATAGAGTCGAATGACGTTGTTCACAAAGTAGCTGCTTACAGCCTCGATTTGACACTCTCCGGTATTTAAGAATGACGTATGTATTGACAATATGTTTTGCGTTTAAGAAGGTCTACACGTGAGAGCCGGTGTGCACGCTCTGTAAATCAGTTCAGTTAGGCGATCAAATGCCGTGGAATCACTTGCCATTTATTTATTTAGGTACGGCAGTAAACGTAAGGTTTGTGAGCACTGCACACACACATTAAAGGGAGTACATATTGTACAATGCCGAGTTTCAGCAATGTTAAACCAATATCACAGCTAGAGACACTAGACAAGGCTTCACAGACTATCCCTGTCCGGATTTTGAACCCGGGTTTTCAACAAACACTTAAACCACAGGTCAAACCCACTGCCCATCAAATCAAAGAAAACCGGTGCCCTTGGTTAGAAGCAATACACGATTACCTTCAATCCGGGTCTCACACTGTGTCCCTGTGAAGGAAGGGAGACAATCGCAAGTTGCACCGGCTATGTTACCAGGGTTTGCACACGAGGTCGTTGTTTCTGTTGATGGTGACAAGGCTTCTGTCTGTAAATATATATTTTTCCAATCTAGATATCTTTTCTCAGACTATAACAGCCTACTTATGGTTACTATACTTTATATTTCTATTCAATAACGATAGCTCTTTGTTCGTTTCCCCCCGATTCACAACCAACATATCTGTGTGTCAGATGTAGATGAATGTGTCAAAGTGGTTGGTTACTGGATAAACAGGGACATCCATATGTTCCAATAGGCCAAAAGGCCTATATGCGAAGGATTTGAGGTGTAGTTGGTTGTTCCGCATTTCTCTAGGAAATTGAGTTAAAAGCGAAAAACCGTAAAGGTGCATTAACGGGTGAGAGTCAGAAATATGAGTTATTGATGATCCTTATTGGGGTCTCACTGTATATGAAAATCATGAAAGTTGGTGATGGAGTGAGTGATTGACTTATTACCTGCGTCCAAGCATCCCCCTCCACAAACATCTGACACGTGGCGTTGGGGACGCTGCCTTGGTCAGATGTCGCAGCCATCAGGTAACAGACGTCGTCATCGGGGCAGTAGACTACGCCGGTGCAGGGGTTGACGCCGACACACCGGGCAAGACATTCAGTACGGGACGATGTTGTCACAGACTCGATGCTGTCGGGGAGGATGTTTGTGGTGGTCGATGCTTGAAGTGTGTAGAGGCAGGACTTGGTAGAAGCAGCAGCTTGCACTCTCTCAGGATGAAGGAACACCATGAACAGCGTGCAGAACAGCACCATGTTCAGGACAGTGGCCACCTTCTGTATCCTGCTGTAAGTCATGAGGACTTGAGCTTCAAATGTGGTCAACTGATGTTCAAAATGAAAGTCACGGGGATTTATCTCTAAAGTTTCAAGTGTGAAGTACCAGATATTGACCATAAGAGTATGTAGTGCATGTGAATGCTACCACACGCCTATGATCAATAGATACTGGAAGTTACACTTGAATGATTGGAGTACTGTCAGGAGCATTCAAGTGTTTGTAAAATACTGGATACCATGCATGTGAATCGAAGGACAGGGAAGGTATTGGACGGGTCATCATCAGTTGACAGTGAAGCATAAATCTGTGAGAGACATTTAAAAGTTGCTGTTGAGATAAGTGTTTGGGGGGAAGACATCATTAATAACAAAGGCTCTGAAATCATATTTTGAATTATTGATTACTTAAAGACCGTGGGAAAGACATCCTTAGCACCTAGGGCTCCGATATAATTTTTTGAATAGTTGATTACTTTGGACTGATTGTTTTTCTATTTCTTTAAGGAGACTGCTAGGTTTGGCTTGAATCTATGTCTTTATAATCGACGTCTTGGAAACATAGGATAGACAGACCTTTGGTTGGTGCCTGCGCTGTACCCTGTGTGGAAACACAGGATAGACAGACCTTTGGTTTGTGCCTGCGCTGTACCCTGTGTGGAAACACAGGATAGACAGACCTTTGGTTTGTGCCTGCGCTGTACCCTGTGTGGAAACACAGGATAGACAGACCTTTGGTTGGTGCCTGCGCTGTACCCTGTGTGGAAACACAGGATAGACAGACCTTTGGTTTGTGCCTGCGCTGTACCCTGTGTGGAAACACAGGATAGACAGACCTTTGTTTGGTGCCTGCGCTGTAGGCTGTGTGGAAACACAGGATAGATAGACCTTTGGTTGGTGTCTGCGTTGTAGGCTGTGTGGAAACACAGGATAGATAGACCTTTGGTTGGTGCCTGCGCTGTACCCTGTGTGGAAACACAGGATAGACAGACCTTTGGTTGGTGTCTGCGTTGTAGGCTGTGTGGAAACACAGGATAGATAGACCTTTGGTTGGTGCCTGCGCTGTACCCTGTGTGGAAACACAGGATAGATAGACCTTTGGTTGGTGATAGACAGACCTTTGTTTGGTGCCTGCGCTGTAGGCTGTGTGGAAACACAGGATAGATAGACCTTTGGTTGGTGCCTGCGCTGTAGGCTGTGTGGAAACACAGGATAGACAGACCTTTGGTTGGTGCCTGCGCTGTAGGCTGTGTGGAAACACAGGATAGACAGACCTTTGGTTTGTGCCTGCGCTGTAGGCTGTGTGGAAACACAGGATAGACAGACCTTTGGTTTGTGCCTGCGCTGTACCCTGTGTGGAAACACAGGATAGACAGACCTTTGGTTGGTGCCTGCGCTGTACCCTGTGTGGAAACACAGGATAGACAGACCTTTGGTTTGTGCCTGCGCTGTACCCTGTGTGGAAACACAGGATAGACAGACCTTTGGTTGGTGTCTGCGCTGTACCCTGTGTGGAAACACAGGATAGACAGACCTTTGGTTGGTGTCTGCGCTGTACCCTGTGTGGAAACACAGGATAGACAGACCTTTGGTTTGTGCCTGCGCTGTACCCTGTGTGGAAACACAGGATAGACAGACCTTTGGTTTGTGCCTGCGCTGTACCCTGTGTGGAAACACAGGATAGACAGACCTTTGGTTGGTGCCTGCGCTGTACCCTGTGTGGAAACACAGGATAGACAGACCTTTGGTTTGTGCCTGCGCTGTACCCTGTGTGGAAACACAGGATAGACAGACCTTTGGTTGGTGCCTGCGCTGTACCCTGTGTGCATATTTTGTTGTTTGGTGAATGTATATCTCCCCATGTCGGTTTTGTGTTGTGGTGAGCAACTGTTTTACACGGATGTGACGACTGTTTGCGATGTTGGTCAAACTGCAATCAACAGTATATTCTCACAAACAAACAAAATCAATCTTGTCCAACCTGTCAGATAAGCATCATCCACGTCGTCAGGGCTCGCTTTTCGGTAGACCTACAATAACCCCTGGACCCATCCACAAGTGTTAAATTACCTGCCCTTGATTTCTACTTACAGTGTACCATCGACCAATTAAAAGTCGGGGGGGGGGGGGGGGGTTCGAAAATGGGCCAAGGGAAGTAACTCATATTGCCTATAAACCAAAGCCACCGCAAGTTGGTTAGTTTGTCAAGAATGAAACATTTGACACAACAGATTGCCAATTGGTCAAAGATGAAGCATCTTACACGAGTTTCCAGTTGGTCAAGGATGAAGCATTTTACACAACGGGTTTCCTGTTGGTCAAAGATTAAGTATCTACCACAACAGATTTCCAGTTGGTCAAAGATGAAGCATCTTACACAACGGGTTTCCAGTTGGTTAAAGATGAAGCTTCTTACACAACGAGTTTTCAGTTGGTCATAGGTGAAGCATCTTACACAACGAGTTTCCAGTTGGTCAAGGATAAAGCATTTTACACAACGAGTTTCTTGTTGTCAAAGATGAAGCATCTTATACAACGGGTTTCCTGTTGTCAAAGATGAAGCATCTTACACAACGGGTTTCCAGTTGGTCAAAGATCAAGCATCTTACACAACGCGTTTCCAGTTGGTCAAAGATGATCTTACACAACAGGATCTTACAGGATGAAACGTTTTGTTTTACACCTTACAGTTGATCAAGGATGGCGCATTTTCCAATTTGTCAAAGATGAAGCATTTATTGAACAGCTATCCAGTTGGTAAAGCATGACGCATTTTACACAACAGCTTTCAAGCTGTTCAAGTATGGAACATTAATTCAACAGCTTTCCAGCTGGTCAAGGATGAAGCATTTATTCAAAAGTTTTCCAGCTGGTCAAGGATGAAGTATTTTACACAACAGCTTTTTCATTGAGAGCAGTTTTGAAACAATACTGTATCATCATTTTCATTCGCCAATACATTTTCACATATCTGTTAAATACTGTAAATAATGGAGAAACAATCCTAGCACAGCTCCTGCACATCAAATGTGTTTTCTGGGGAAAGGCTAAAGCACAATGTCCCCTAATCATTCAAGTGTAAACATATCTATGCACTTCAGCAACACTGACTACGTACCCTATACCTCAGTCATGGAACGTCCGGCTCTTCCCATAAGGCCTTACAGATTCTTGCAGCTTACATTTGGGGCCAAATCTTACCCAATAGCATGCGGTATGTTCGCTGTTGCTTTTGTACAAGAGAATCCAGACAGATCATAAATCTAGACTTTTTATGGCAGACAATTCCAAGATACATGGTTTTTTTTGTTTAACAAGAATAATGTCAAATTGGTACAAAAGATGCACGAAATAACTTGTTAAGGTGTGTTGTGAAGGGGGCAAGCCACAGTGCGTCGCGCCACGCCATCTATGCAGATAATCATCTAAGGGAGATAACAGTGTTATGATAAAATAATATATATAATATATATAATAATATATAAGTAAGGTCCCTTGTGCGAGCTCCATACTTAAACTCATCATATAGTGTGGACTTTTCCGAGTTCTATTGAGAAATGCAAGCTCCCCATGCACAGCAATAGGCCATTCACACACTGAGCAAGGGCTTAGAAATTACTGGTTATCTCCTTTGCTACAAGGTCGTGTGACGTCATAACATAATAACGCACCGATTATTTTCTAACTAGAGTTACTTCCCTTCGATGAAGTATAACGCAGTGCGTGAAGGGAGCTTGTACAAAGGTATGGGCGGCTATTAAGTAAAAAATACAAAGTTGAAATAAAGGACAAAAGTATGCAATAATAGTCAAATTTTATTTACCTTAATTTCAACTTTGTATTTTATAACCGACGTGTTTGTTTTGTAATTGGACCTTTATCTGTAACATTTAATACTTTATTCGTAACATTTGACAATTATATTGCGCACTTTTGTCCTTTATTTCAACTTTGTATTTTTTGACCGAATGGCCGCCCATACAAGTGACGCAACTCTGTTTGAAATTATCAAGTAAACTGGTTCCACTGCTGATACGCGCCGATAGTTTAGCGCTTTGACAGGAGAACAGTCTAAGCTACCTAGCAGAATTTCTTCTCTTGACCACAAACTTTAGTCCCCCTTTGACCACGACAAAAATGTGTACTGTCACAGATTGCAGCCCTAGATCAGTTTCATCTGTCATTCGACCCGTGAAGATTCTGGGGTAGAATAGGTCTTCATAGGCGACTATGCTTGTCGTAAAGGCGACTAACGGGATCGGGTGGTCAGGCTCGCTGACTTGGTTAATACATGTCATCGACCCCAAATGCGTGGATCGATGATCATGATATTAATCACTGGATTGTCTGGTCCATTATTTACTCGATTATTTACAGACCGCCGTCATATAGCTGGAATATTGCTGAGTGCGGCGTTAAACAACAAACCACCCAACCAATCATCTGTCATTCAAATTTAATAAATAAAATAACATAGTTTAATAAGAATATATCTATACCTGTGTAGAAAGTTTTTTTCCCTTTTCGTAAATTAACAATGTAGTATCCGATTCCATTTTGCCCGAAACTACATGTCAGAAGATACGAACTTGTTTTAATATTAAAATGATTTTAGAACTTATTCAAACCTGTATTTTATGTTTAATGACTTGAAATAGGTCAAAAGGAGAAAAACATTATTGCCATACGGAACCGGCTAATATAAAAATAAGGTAGGACGCCCTTATGGTGATAGTTACTTTTTTTTATCTACACGTGCATTCCTCTTACATCCGTTTCCAAAAATGTGTTTACATTTTGGTTTTCGAGTTCAGCTTGCTCTCAATAGTCGACCAGACGTGTGTTTCAATTGTCAAAGAGTTGGTTTAGATCGTCAAAGCCTTGAATACGTTTTCTGCAAAAGGGAACCTTTTTGTACCTATTTTTTAACCTTTTGCAACCATGGCCATCCAGATATTATTAACTGTAGGTATTTGCACTTGATCACGAACGCGAATCAGACAATCTTTGAGTTTGTTTTAGTTTTTAGTTTGGGGCTCTGTTTGTTTTTAATCAATATGAGCATTCGCTTTAGTAAATAATATGCATACTAATAACAGGGATCCAAATCCAAGTGCCAAAAGAATATCGGTGGAAGAATTAGAGTGAGTGAGTGAGTGAGTATGGTTTTACGCCGCTTGTAGCAATATTACAGCAATATCACGGCGGGGGACACCAGAAATGGGCTTCACACATTGTACCCATGTCGGCAATCGAACCCGGGTCTTCGGCGTGACGAGCGAACGCTTTAACCACTAGGCTACCCGACCGCCCGGAAGAATTAGAAGACCCATGCAGAATTGTAATATAAAATATGACATCGTATCTGACGAAGTGACATGTACATATTTTTATATTTCTTATTTTGTCACATTTGTGTTGGCCTGAAGCAAATTCAATGGACCTAGCAATAGTACTTAGGACTAGTGTTTGTCCTTCAGCTAATAGTTACATCCGAGCTAGAGATCTACTTGGTAAATATTGCACTTCCGTGAAAACTACCAGGCCTATTCCACTTCAGACAATAGGCTGGAGCGCTCACATTTTAAGTTGGTTTGCTGCGATAATCAATGCTTGTGTCGACACTTGTCAGTGTTATACATGAATGGCAGCCCTCGGGATTGTTAGCATTGATCTTCATTCCTCAGCATCCGCGGGATAAAGGTTTTAAATATATAAACCGAAAAAAAAATAAAACAATTTTTATCAACATTTTTATGTTCCAAACCTACTTTCCATAAACTTTAGGGAAACTTTAGTTAGTAAACTAGCTGATGCTGCCGTACGGTATAAAAAAAGACATGTTTAAAAGCTTTGTGATTTATCAGCGCAACGGTAGTCTAGTGCTTCGTACACTCACTGGACTGCAGATACGAAGGTTGCGTGTTAGATTCTCGAGAATATATAGATAACACTTGTTACTTGATTTTATATTTTCCTCGCTATGTCTGTTGTAAGGGGCGACCACATGGATTGTGAGTCGGGTCACGTGGCTGATTGTGTTGCATCGTGCCCCAGTGAAGTGCGTCGTTGCTCATGGTATCACTCACTAGTTTGCTCGGTCAAGACCTGATTGTTTTCAGGTCGTCGTGATACGAAGGTGAAAATGCCAGGAGACGTGAGCACCAAAGACAATATACGTGGCGTCGTTTGGTTTTTTACAGTTTTCAACTGCGCTCCGTCTCAACGTCTAACAGATAATTTATAAGATATATAGCCGGGATATTGCTGACTGCTGAGTTATGTGACACAAACAAATCTTACTATCTAAAGGCATTGCTTTCCTGGAACATATATCAATGACTGGAATACAAATATTAGTTTGAAGTATTGATAATTTAAGTCTAGGAAAGGCATTTAGAAGTGATACACATATAAGAAAGAGAATATATGGATGTCAACTTCTTTATTATGTGGAACACAACGTTTCGTAAGGAGTAAGCATATACACCGAAATGTTGTGTTCCCTTTAGTAAAGAAGTTGACATCCATAAATTCTCTTTCTTATTGGTAATTTGTTTTAATCCATAATGTATTCTCTCTATGTGCCTGAAACATTGTCGATACACCACATAGTTGTAACTGACTCACTATTTCCTTCTTTGATTAGTTCGGTACTAGCTAGGGATGGTCCTTCCAGGTCCACTGATCCCACCCCAAATCATATTTGAGCCCCTCCATGGCGGTCATGTTCTTGTCTCCCACGAAACACTCGGGCACGGCGATCTGTGGAGCAGTATCTTGATTCATCGGTGAAAAGTACTGGAGCTGGTCTGTCCAATTGACGTGATCTTCAGCCCAATCCAAACGTGCCTGTCTGTAATGTTGGCTCAGAGGGACGCGAATGTATGCCCTCCGTAACCCGAAATCAGCCTCACGGAGACGATTACGCAGTACATTTCTGAGTGTAGATGCAGTCACGAAGTGTTTTCGTCTTGCTGCAATAGGGAGAAACCTGTCTTCCTGCTGTTGACCTGCTGTTGACTACCTGCATATCACTGTGTGGCCGATCCAAACGTCTGCTGATGACACTTTGGCAGACTTTTGCAAAGTAGCATTGTGATGACCGAGTTTCACAACATCTGCCTAATTCTTCGTTCGTCATACGACCTCACTGGCACTGAGGGGGTAAAGGTGCATTCAGCTGTTATAATCTTCAGTCTCAAATGTTGCTGTGCCCTCTGCTAATGATGTGCAACGATTCTGTCACGATCCGAACACATGACTGCATGCCTCTGTCCCTTCATCATGAAACTGAGGTCCTATGGGGTCACCCAATCATTGTGTTCCGGGATATTGCAATCTTTATTTGTTGGGTGATTTCCTGATATTATCAAACCTCTCCTTCGCAAACTTTGAACAGTATATAATGTGAATCGCTGATAGGTATGTTGTGTGTGTCTTCCCAAAGTGCCTCAAGTCCCATTTTGCTTCCAGTAAAATCGTGAAATGATACGGTCTGATGCTCAGAAAGTGATGCATAAGTGAACATGACTGTTACCTGTTGCACCTGTGACATGGGATAAACTTAGACAACAAAACAGTGTCCATGCTCAGCTTAGGACCAGGCTCGTTTGAACAACAATGGATTAAAATGAAAATTACAGAAATCTCTGGGGGAAAAGTATTAACACCTCCACTCAGCTTAGGATTTGGCTTGTTTAAGCAAAGATCGATTAAAACGTTAATTTCATTGATCTTAAAAAATAGTTAATTGGGGTGATTGGTTGTATATTATTTTGTTGTTGTTGTTTATGCAATAAGAAGTATTTAGTCCCTCTACTCATTGTTTTTATTTACTAACAGTTTATACAGAATCTGCAATTGTAAGAGCCTGACTTGATTGGGCAACGGATATTTACAAACTAATTTTAAAACTATATCCCGAGGCTTATCTCTTAGCAAACATAAGGCAAACAATAGTGGCTCAGTCCATTCACATAAGTACTGGTGACACTGAGCCCCCAGTGTGCCAACAGTAATCAGTGTATGCAAATTGGGATGTAGGCACAAGGGTGTGTAGGTGTATTGGGATTAAACCATGTTATGAGTAATAGATAATGCCCGTGAACATCCAGGGTAGAATAGGTCTTCAGCAGCCCATGCTTGCCGTAAGAGGCGATTAATTATGCTTGTAAGAGGCGACTAACGGGATCGGGTGGTCAGGCCCCCTGACTTGGTTGATGCATGCACAGGAACTCGTTATTGGTCAGTAAATAAAAATATATACCCCCTATATGTAAGTAGAGAAATAAAGGGGGTATATATTTTTATTTACTGACCAATAACGAGTTCCTGTGGATGCATGTCATCATATCCCAATTGCGTAGATCGATGGTCATGATGTCAGTCACTGGATTGTCTGGTCTAGACTCGATTATTTACAGACCGCCGTCATATAGCTGGAATATTGCTGAGTATGGCGTTAAACAAACAAACAAACAAACAAACATTGTATGTACGTGTATATTTATTTTGAAAATTATGTTTCGGACCGTTTGTTCTGACGTCGACAATAAATCCTCTGTCCAAACAACGACCTGTGTAATTAGTGATAGTTACTACAGGTTTGTTACGTAGCAATAATAATTCTTCGTGTTTCTTTAATACACGTTTCTTGTGAGATTCTGTGAGAGTTGTCAGTGGCATACCTAGCAACTGGATCCCCGATCCTCCGCAATAGCGAACGTGAACCAGTCTATCGGTGACATTTCCGTAACCCTCCGGAATGAGCCGAATGTATTTTTCCCACAATACCTGTCTGTTCCTTGACGACGGTAAATGCAATATGGAGTCGGGTGGCAGTGCGTGTTGTTTACGCTGACACTGCTCGGATATCAACCGAATGTGGCTCATTTCCAGTCGTGTCGGCTTACTTTCAAATAATTAAATTCGAACAGTAGCTAAGCCTCAACTGTCGGACATCAAGTCTGACGCGGAATAATGGCCGCAATGCAGACACAAACGCAACCCGTCGCCACCAGGTTGACGGGGGGTTCTCCAGAAAAGACAAGGATACCTATTGTGGCACATATCATCACTGACGATGACATCGGCATGCTTCAGGTAAGTTTATTCAACAAATGGGATTTGGATAATTTTAACTTCATGTCGGAATGCTGTCATCAGTTTTTGTGTTTTGCGAATCCCATTTTATTGTAGGATTATTTTGTTTAGGCTAGTCGATAACAGGATAAAAATAGGAAGAATAGGCTCAGTAATGATAAAATGTATGGTTCCCACCAAACTGTCAAGTTAAAACTTCCGCCTATAATCCCTTCCTCGGATTTTTTATTAAACCATAACCCTGTGCTAAAAGAATTAAATATCATTTCTGTAAGGGTAACTACCCTGACAGCTAACGTTGAAGCAGGGGTTATGGGCAGAAAAAATTTCCAGTGTCAAATTTGGAATCTGTCCACAATTAATTTCAATCAAGCTGTTCACGCATGGGTAGACTGCAGTATTTGGGTCCCCACTTCGGAAGGAACGTTTTTACGTGTTTACGGAAGTTGTCGAATGAAAAACGTTCCACGCATTCCTACTTATTAGGGCTGGGACATTGGTCCTCAGGTTGGGTGGGGACAAAGTAGGACCCGGGTACCCACAGGACTACCCTGACCCGTGGTTATATAGTCATGTGATATATTGTTTAATGACCAAAAAAATATTTCGCATTTCTTTCTGACAATGCATACATTCCTTTTGAATTTTATATGTTTTATTAGAGAAAAAGCTTCAGTAAACTTCAGTGTTTGCATGACCAGATCTTTATATACATGTATATCGCCAAGTACCCTATTTTCAAAGGACACCTATTTTTGAACAGCCATATTGAAAGTGATTTTGTCTCGTTATAACAAGAGGTGGGACATCAACTAGACTTTTGCCTTGAGAATGCACACGTTCAGCCTGTCAACATTGGGCTCATGGGATGTGCGCTGTACACTTGTCAGAACAGTCCGTTGTCATTCAAAATTTTGGTGCCCATGCCATGATGAAAAGAAGAGTAAAATAGTGTGAACATTATAATTTAACAAATATTCTTATTTTGTGAATAGGTTTCAAACTTTCAATTGCTTTTTAAGTTTTAATGCCAACCTGCAAGAATTATGTTGAGAACTGTTCGCCAAAACACGTTCATGGAAACACCGCTAAAGTACCAAACCAATCAGGTATTTAAAAATAGGTGACATCACACAAGTTCACCAGAAGTTTACAGACGAGGCATTAGAGGTCACGTCTTTTATCAAGGATTTTTTTTCTTTCGGAATCTAGCTCAGTTCTATTGTAGAAGACATCACCTACTGGTATGAAGCTGAATTTGATTTTTGATTTACTCATCCTCAGAAATATCAACAATGTCATCTTAACTGTTTGAAAATAGCGTACGTCAGGACAAATAGCTTTTGCCAGACTCCGGTAAAACAATTCCCAATCAGACATTTTGTTCCCAACTCTTGAGACCTACAGTGCCTACCCGGGTAGGGTCGGGTTGTAGAGGGGTCAGGTACCCGGGTAGTAAATTTGGACTTGTCCCAGCAATACTTCTTGTGATATTAAACATTGTAATTAGAAAGCATTTTTTAACAGAAAAAAACTTCGAATGTTTCCATATACCATGTATACCCCATACCTCTACCCCCCACATAAACAGATCCCTAGTAGTGAGTTGCCCAAAATAATCACCAGTTAATCCTCAATGCTAAAACTATGTTTGAGTTAATTATCAACTCCTACATAGCGAGTTACCGTGGTATATGTCATGATACTGCTCACACTAAATGTATGGGGGGTAGCCTAGTGGTTAAAGCGTTAGCTCGTCACGCCGAAGACCCTGGTTCGATTCCCGACATGGGTACAATGTGTGAAGCCCATTTCTGATGTCCCTGATATTGCTGGAATATTGCTAAAAGCGGCGTAAAACCTCACTCACTCACTCACTCAATGTATGGAATCCTAGCAGAGCAAATTGTCTATGATCATTGCAAGTATTATATTTTTAAAAAGATTCCAATGCAAACCATGCTAAACATTAGGATGAAAAAACATCATTGTCCCTCTATATTATTAATCTGCAGAAGGATATATCATTATTATTAATCTGCAGAAGGATATATTTCAATACATGTATTGTCAAGCTTTATTTTCAAGCATGTATTGTCGATCATGTCTAGAGCCATTGATTTCATGAAAAAGTTTTACTGGTAAACAGGGTAAATGTACAAGAAAATGGGAAATTAAGAATGTGTGTCTTGCACTCAAATTTAAGTTGGTCATGTTGATGTGTTGAGTCATAATCATGCATAATTCCAGGGTTCCAAGCTGCAACCTGTCAACCTAAACAGGGTCATCAAGCTGCTAACAGATCCTCACTCTGTAAGTGTATCTTTAAATGCCTTGAATAGTATCATTAGCTATGACCGGTGGTATTTATAGGTTTCTTAAAGACAATAGCTGTCAACCCAACACACCAATCATTAACTTTAATTTTTTAAAAATTATGTCAAGTTTATTCTTTAAATCTTTTGGATATGGTCGCTATATGTCTGAAACAGTGCCAATGGGATGTTAACTTATAACTCATCTGGATTGGATCATTATGTGTTACTGGTAGCAATGTTCTTGCAGCAATCTGTGCACAAAAAATATTTACATGTCTAGCCTTTACATGTCCAGCAGAATTCTTTTCATTAGATTTACTGCTCACATATTGGTTAGTATAAGCCGAACCCACTAGACATGCTAGACTGAAAGAAAATTTGACCACACTCAAGTTTTGGATGAATGGCTGAATGCAGGCTGTTGTGATTTGTAATATGTAGAAAATATTACATTTGTTCTGTAATACCCAAGATGGTTCTGTTTCAGGTTATGCTTTATGATCGTCATGTTCATGCCCTTCAGAAGATGGTTCGTCACTACCAGAAAGGTTTTGTATCCTTTGTGGAAATGTGTTTGATACTTTATTTTGAGCACCTACCAATGTAGGCTTCAATGGTCTTTTGAGGCACTGTAATTCTTTGAAGAGCTGGTGGCCTGTTTAATATTTGAGTTGTTCATTAATGCTGCTCAAACATATTGCTGACTGCTAATCAGATACATTGTCCTTGTAACATTGTAAATTGATAATACGAAAGCTTTTCTTAATGAAGATAGATTGAGTTTCCTCATGTGTGACTTGCCTGAATGTGTTTGTGATTGGTGCCACCAGTGGGGCAGGATACGCTCACATTTTTCTCAAAACACCTGGTATCATTACTATTTGATAGTGATTCATAAACAAATGCTCATGATACAGTCGGATTTGTACAACCGGCTCTGCTTTTGGCAGAGATTTCTTGTGACTATGGAAAGGGTTGCTATGCTACTAATGTCTTGTATCAGTGCCAAATGATACTTTAGTATGTAACCCATGGCTGTACTTCTCAGCATCATAACACTACTGCAGTATTATCCCCAATGTCAACTTGTGACATTGTTTTGGTATCATGGTAAGTACAATGTCATGACATATTGTATTGTGACTTTGTGTCACATCCTTAACGATTTGAAGAAATTGCTTTGAACTAAAAATAGAAATTGTTATGCATCCTTAATGACGTTCAGTTAATGAAGGAACTAGTTCAGGTTTTCAAGGTCCTCAATGTGTGTGCCGATCGTGTGGACAAGCAGCCTCTATATGAACAGCCAATCATTGACATCCTCAAGATCTGTTCTCTTCCATACCTGAAGGAAAAGTCATCTGATGAACTGGTCTACGAACAGATTGTAGTTGAATCTGTCTCCCAGCTTGGTGAGAACTTTCTTCTATTCTGGAGGGATAACAATTTGTAAAATACTAAAAAATATTACAGCTGGACAGGTTAGCATCTGGGATTTGACTGGTCAAATTCCTCATAAGGTAGAACATGTATTGTTTCAGTAATTGTATAGAGGATGTATTTCTGTCAATTTAAGTTGAAATTATCATTGTGATAGACAATAGAACTCTCTGCTTCAAGTAAACAATATTTGTCATTATACAACTGACAAATAATCGCACGCACACACAATATCATTCCTATTACTCTGACAACACAACACAATCAAACTAACATTCTGTACTTACAACTGTCAACTTCACCGACACTATTCACTTGCTATCATAACAACACAACCGGAATGAGAGTTATCTCCCTTACATTAATTTCTTCAGTTGAAATTCTTTCATGTTGTCCTACTGGACAATGTTACTGATTACAAAGGACTGTATTAGACTATATCTTGTGTACCTGTTTGGTGCCAATGAATAAGTCAATTGCCTGCTGTACAGGTTATCTGATGCGAGTGCCAAGCACAGAGGTGAGACAGCAGATATGTGTGACACTGGCGAGCTTCTACTCCAAGTCTTCCAAACACCAGGAAGTACAGAGTAAGTCATGTATGGAGGAAAGGTGTTCTATTTGCAGGATTACATACTTCAGTCGTGTGTATTGAGTAAATCTAACATTTCTAACAGTTTTATCCACTTTCAAAGGTATTGTTTTAATGACTTTCTTGTCACTGATTTACCCTGATATGCTCTTGTTGGATTGATGAGGCTTTATTACTAAGTATTCTATACACTGTGTATGGAGCTCTGGTTAATGTTACCATAATGGGGGTGCCCTCGCGATGGACATGTGTTCTATATTGGTGGGTTATATTGGTGGCAAAGTAACCACTGTCTAACTTTTACTCACTGCGATATAGGCATGCTATACAAGCTGCTATACAAGCTGAAGAGGTTTGGACTGGTATATTTAGACAGTCTCCATTTCTATGAGACATCTCATTTAGATCATATTTTAAAATTTTTGATACAAAGATAATTCCAATACTACACTATGGTGCTGAAATGAATCCCAATCAGTCCATGCTTGTTGTAAGACCTACAGCCAACTAATGTTGGTCAGGAGTAGGACAGAATGAGTCCCAATCAGTCCAAGCTTGTTGTAAGACCTACAGCCAACTAATGTTGGTCAGGAGTAGGACAGAATGAATCCCAATCAGTCCATGCTTGTTGTAAGACCTACAGCCAACTAATGTTGGTCAGGAGTAGGACAGAATGAGTCCCAATCAGTCCAAGCTTGTTGTAAGACCTACAGCCAACTAATGTTGGTCAGGAGTAGGACAGAATAGGTCCAGTTCTGAGTTCATGCTTGTTATGAGACTAAGACTAAGAGCCAGCTATGATGGTCAGGAGTAGGTGTGATTCAGTCCATGCTTGTCATTTGGTGACTGTCTAATGTGGATCAGATGGTTTGAAAATTGACCTTGCTGGTTGTGTGTCATTACACCCCCCATGGGGTAGATGATTGCTCGTGCTGTCAGCCACTGGCTTGTCTGGATAACACTGGTAATCTACAGGCTGCATTGATACAGATGGAATGTTACTGGCTGCATAAATCATTCACTAACTCACTCCTTATTCACGCCGTCTTATCTGATTGAAGCCTTATTTTCTTGTAATATAAAGTATGTAGATTTATGGATCGGCATCCATTTTTTATTCACCTTTTCTGTAAAATATGACAGGGTAAGCAATATCAGAGCAGATTGTAATAGATTTTAGTTGTTGATGTAGACTATTGGTCTGTATTTCAGAGCACAAGGCATCGACAGTGGAATACAACCAGCGCATGGTGGAGAACAGCGACATCTCAGAGACCCTGATCAAGGTGAGTGTGTGGAGCCACTCTCATCAACTTCCGAATAGTTTCTGTATAAGGCATCTATCATGTCATGTGCTTCTGATGTCATAAAATCAATCTGAGAATGTTATTATATTTGTTCAGTGTGTTAATTATTACTGTTTCCTCGACAAAATAGTAAATGAAATTGTTAATGACTGTCGTTGAACTTTAGTCTATAATGATGTTAGAATTGGTTGGGTCGCAATCAGTACCTTCCAGATATATTGTTGAGAGGCAGGGAAAATGTGTGCTATGTGTAACAAGCAAATCTGAGTCCTTCATGAGGATAGTCTTGGATGATTCTCCCGTGTGTAAAGCCAAGAATATGTCTGAAGTATTTGTCCTTGGTGTAAGAATGTAACTAATCTGTTGATGCTGTGCAGTCTCTGGCGCTCCTGGAGACGGACCTGGGTGTCAGGCATGAGGTGCTGGAAGTCTTGCAACGCTTCTCCAAAAACTCAGGTCAGTTGCAGTCATGACCTGTACCACCACCAGAAGTTTGCTGTATTGTGGAAGAAGCTATGTTGCTGCATAGCTATAGAACAGATTGATACACACAAAAAAAGTAGAGTATAAGCTTATGATTACATTCCAAGATAGCTACAGAAAAGATTAAACCAACTCAACAACTGAGAAGAATTTATGTTTACAATTTCATTTAAGGATTGACTGTGGATTTCTTTTTGTTTATTGAGGTATGAATTGAAAATCCAATGTGCAAAGTGTATGAATCCTCATAGCAGATTCTTACAAAAGTTTGCACATCGGTTAACTTCATAAACGAAAACTTGTGTAATCTACAATAGTTCAGCCAACGACAGTGTTATATATCAAAATGACGAGATTGATAAACATACTGTGGCGTGATATGATTCAGGGGATTGTTTAATTTATGCACGTAACTTGACACACCCACAAAGTCAGTAGCCAATCAACGGAGAGTAGGATCAAAAGAAAGTTCATAGTTCCTGTCAATCAAGGCAAGAGGCGAGAAGAACTGCAACAGTCAGACTGTAATGAACCGGAACAAATATGTCTGGGAGAAGGCGGCTGATTCAGATGACATAGTCAGTTACTGCCAGATAGAAAAATTAGTTCCCTGAGAATGGGAAGACAGAGTTTGAAAAATATAGGTTAGAAATGAAACCCAAAAACATGAAATTTGTAGAACCTAGCTAGGCAAGCGGACATAAAACAGGCGACCGAACCTGAACATTTGCTGTTTCATTCCTTCTTGGCCTTCGGTCTCAAAGGGTAGTTTGGAAATGAATATGCATGAATTTCGCTAAATGTCCTGTGCATGACGATACATGTGAGCAGAAAGGGAATTCCCTCAACTATAATATTAGGATTCCCCGACTCTCTGTAGTAATAAAAGTAGTCCGCTTCGGTGGGTGTGACTTTATTTTTCACATTCTTTGGGAAATGAATGCAATAACACATGACCAATTCAGCTAATCAGAATGCACGAATTACAATGAACACAATGAAAATTTAATTGTTACTGAATAGCTACTAGGTCATGACCAATGTGTATCAGGTCATTGATCATGTTGAGAACAACAAATGGGCTTGGGGCCTTACAGCAATGTAGAGTGTGCCCACATGTAGGAGGATGAAATTAATGAATTAAATTAATAATCATACTTTATCCTCCCAACATCATCCCGAGGTAAGCGAGTTAACTGACTAAGAAGTCCAGCTTCCCCCCTTACCAAACTTGAATTTCTGAGTCATATTTTGGCTGGACTAATGAGTTTATACATAGTCCAATCAAAATCTTGTAAGGAAATCAACATCTGGTTCGTAAAGAACATAGTGATTTGTGCAGATTTCGGTCCATTGCAGGATTTGCAAAAGCATGTGTACGGTAAACTGGGCACCTTGAGTGGGCGCCACCATTTTGTTTGAAGCAAATGCATATGACACTATGATGGGTTACTAAAGAAATCCAGTTTCCACCCTTGCTATACTAGGATTGAATTCTGAGGCATATTTTAGCTGGACTAACAAGTCTATGCATAGTCCACTAAAAATCATGTGAAGGAATCAACATCCAGTTAGTAAATTTGATTGGTCAATAGGAGGGACATAACTTGTAATAGCTACTGGTGGCACTACAACCAGACACAGAATTCCAGCCTAGTTCGGCATGTTGGAAACTGGACGTCTATAGTCAGTTAACTCCCTTGCCTTGGGAAGATGTCCCCCAGGTGACTGAATGAGTTTTTGTTAGGTGGAAACCCACATTATAAGATCAATCAATTAATCACCTTTTCTTCTGTATAATGCCTTGGGCCCATGTATAAGCTTCCATGTGAGTGGATAACATGCATGATTGTTCTGCATACACGATAATGTGGCATTTAGTAGTGAGGAAATCATACAGCTAATGCCTCTAGTTACATAATTACCAATGATCTTGAGTTAAAGATTTCATCAAGTAGCCCCTATTAACAAACCGAGGCATATCCTTTAGATATTTGTGACGTAAATCTGTATCTTTAGGGAAAATATTAATAAAATGAAATATATCTGTTGCAAATTGGTTACAAATATTACAAATTCTTGGACATTAAACATTGAAGTTAGTTTGTTCAGATTCCAGTTTCATGACTGATCTGATGTAACGGTTCCTTCAGTTCATAGTCTTTAGGCCAGGGAGTTACCAGGACAACAGATATGATCCTAAACAGTTGTATAGTAGTAAAACTCATCTCATCTTGTTGCAGCCAAGAACTGTGACCAGATGTTGAGAGCAGATGGTGCTCGGCGGGTGTGTTCTCGACTCATGGATGCAGATCCATCTGGACAGACTCTGTTCCGATCCGTAGACATTTTGTGGAATTTGTTGGAGCATGGAGACAATGCCATGATAGCTGAACAGCTCAACAACCTGGCCTGTATCAGGTAGGAGCAGAATATAGTCCCAGCAAGTATCAGATGTAGACAATCAGTGTGGGTGATCACTCACTTCAGATATATGTTGACAAAGTTCTCGAGTCAAAATTTAAAAACTGAACAAAATATGATGCAATATGATGGCAGGTTGTAAATAAACCAGGATGGACCAGAAAAAACAGTGATTGATGTCATAAGCAGCGACCCACACTGTTGGGGTACGAATAACACAGTCAACCAGCCTGACCACCAGATAGATTAAGTGGCTTTGTATGACAAGCACAGTTACTGGGAAACTATCCTCACCTGGAATCCCCAGGGGGCTGTTTAGATCAGACCAGCCAGAAAGGAGGATACAGATCTTATTCAGGTTAGCAACACAAAGTGTGGTCCTCAAAAAGATGTATTGAACTTTGGGAAAGATTATTTTTCAAGCATAGTCTGGAATGGAAGTCGCCAATTTAAAAATAGTGCTGTATAGCTCGAGAAAACTGCTTGTCAGTCATTTCATTGGTCGGTCAAAGTTCGCAAAGGGTCATTCTGGCATTACCTGTAATGGAGTGTCCTCCGATCTTTGTTTAGCACTAGCGAGAATTAAGATCTGATTTTAATGAGATTGATTAGGTCTCGGCACCAGATTACTTGTTGTAAGATGCCACTATGTTGGATTGAGTGGTTAGGCCTATTGTTTTCGTTGAATATGTACCATCGTATCCCAGCTGTATGACATGTTGCTTATAATAATATGACGCACTGGTTTTACTTGCCCAAACTCAGTTAAGTACAGGAAACCATGCAGATCGTGGTTAGAATAGGTCTTCAGCAACCCATGCTTGCCTTAAAAGGCGACTATGCTTGTTATAAGAGGCGACTAATGGGATCGGGTGGTCAGACTCGCTGACTTGGTTGATGCATGTCATCGTCCCAATTGCATGGATCGATGCTCATGATATCAGTCACTGGAATGTCTGGTCCTGACTCGATTATTTACAGACTGCTGGCATATAGCTGGAATATTGCTGAGTGTGGCGTTATTCCACAAACAACCAGTTAAGTACTGGCTGCTGTGATATTGCTGGAATATTGCTGACTGGCATAAAACAACACAACAAACAATTATGTTCAAAATGGAGATCAAAGGTTATGATTCAGCATACTGATGCTATTTTTGGTAAACATCTTAAATCTGTGCCACCTTAATAAATAAGCTGACACCAGCAGCAATTTAAATGGACTCCTGTCTGCTTTTGACGTTTCATTATCTCTGTTTTATCTCTCACCATTGTACAGTCAGCTGCAGGATGCCTTCATCTTTGAGTTGACCCAAGGGTACAGTCACTATGACCGTCAGCTCCGCAACGACCTCCTCATCATCGCGACCTTGGTTGCCTCACATTGCCCTGAGGCGCCATTTGTAGAGACAGGCTTCAGCAAACAGCTAACTTTGTTTGCCACATTCCAGGAAGGTAGGTCTTGTACCAACCAACACTCTACCAAGCTATGCACTCCTATCGGTGATATACAACAAACAGCATAAAACCACAGGTTATGAAACAGTATTCATGTGTAAAAAACTTGGATAATTTTGTGCTTTTTAATAAATGACATAAAAATCAAAGTACACATCAAGTTTTCAAATTTGTGATACAGAGTGTTCTTTGAGGTAGCTCGAGAATTACCTTCGCCTATATGTCAACTGGAAATGACAGATGCTAATGTTGTAGCAGTGTTAGAGGATGAAGCATTGTATGGCACATTTGATATATCAGATCCTTTCTTCACGTCAAGGGATTTAAATTTTTCAAGCGTTGGTCATGATATTGCAGCTTCAATCAGTCTTTTTGTTTACAGTCAAGTCTCATAATGCGCTGGTGAAACACCTCAAGTTCTCCACAAACCATGAAGATTTTGAAATGAAGAAAGCCTTGTTTAATGTTCTTGTGATGCTGAGTCGTGATGGTGCAGTGATACCTGTGAGTACACAACTTGGCCCACTTGGTCAGGCATGCAGAATTTGGGTGTTGACTCAACACCATTAATCTTAGTACTAAAACTATACATGCATGTCTCAGTGTTTTCACCATACTCAGGCAACTCATCAAACACCAGTAGACATGACTTTGATGAGGGTCGGAATTCTACCATGTGACAAAATTGAGGGGTGTCTTTGAGGTTTTCTCCTTCCTTATTTTAATCTAGCTTGCTAAGTATGTCTTTAACAATGGACTCATTGACTTGACTTTTATTCTTAATTTCAAACTCTGTGTAAACTTGATGGAAAACAAAGACAAACCAATAGATCTCTTTATTATATTGTGGATCTTTATCCTTCAGCAATGTCCACTCTGTATTTATGTGCCATATCCACTGCCTTGAGTAAGACCGTCCTGATAACATATTCTACCTTAATCTTATGTATCTGATGACCTTATCATTAATTAAACAAAATATCTTCAAGTTGCTTCATTAATGACCTGTCTTTTGTTTGAGATATATACGTTTAATAAATGTGTCACAACTTATTTCACAGATTTTATCGGAGGGCCATCTTCTCTTGGCATTGTTCTCCTATGTGCGAGCCAATGACAAGGTGAGCGGCCCGCGGGAGTGGACGCCAGCTCAGTTTGAGGAGCTGCAACTGCTGGCTATGGGGTGTCTGTGCACGCTGTGTCCAGTGATGCTGGAAGACTACATGACCTGTCAAGGCAGCACCAGACTCCTCCTGCTGCTGGAGTGGTGTGTCGGGCCAGGTAAAATACACCGGTCAACCAGTACTTTTGCTTACCTTCCATCATATAACATTTACAACTGATATTTTAAATAACATGGTGAATTAATGATTCATCCAGATGTGGTTTGAGTCATCTACAGCACAGGCTTGGAAATCATGTTTAACCATGTATCGTCAGTACTAATTATGTGTGCAGGGCATATCGATAAAATATATTTAGTAATGAGTTGATGGAGTTTGATAGTGAGGTTTCATTGTGAGATATCAAAACTATCTATTCTTAGGGTAAGTAAAACCTTTGACCACATACACAGTGCTTTCAGGCATTCTGCAACAACGTCTGCTTAAGCATTTTCTTTAACATTGATAAAGTATTTAACACATTACATCCTCTTCCATCTTCTAGAGGACTTTTCTGGTCAGGGCAACAGTTTCCATGGCACCGGTGGCCGTGGCAACAAGAGGGCCCAGTTGAGACAATGTCTGCGCCTGATGAGGAGTGTAGTGTCCACAGAGAATGAGATGGTCCTACAGGACATGGCCGACCAGGGGGCAGTCAACCAGCTCATAGGTAAACCAAGGACACCCTCCATTAGATAATATACATTTAGGTTGTGCAAAAATATTCATACAGATCTGCTTACATGCACCCTGTCAGAAACCTTGCTGGGTTTATTTGACCTTCTACAAGTGTTCAGAAGCATGTAGGGTACAGCCACTTGGTGCTGCCAGCTTGACCATCAATGAATGAATGGGGTTTAGGGGATGTGTACTACAAATTAGAAGTGTTGAGCACCAGTATATAGAAACACATTGTTACATGAAGATCCGGGGTAGAATAGGTCTTCAGCAACCCATGCTTGCCTGAGAGGCGACTATGCTTGTCGTAAGAGGCAACTAACAGGATCGGGTGGACAGGCTCGCTGACTTGGTTGATGCATGTCAACGATCCCAATTGTGTGGATCGATGCTGATGATATCAACCACTGGATTGTCTGGTTCAGACTTGATTATTTACAGACCGCCGTCAAAAGCTGGAATATTGCTGAGTGCGGCGTAAAACAACAACCAAACCGACCAACATTGTTACATAACCTCATGTGTTTCATATGCTTTAAAATTTAAGGTTAATACATTTATGGACTGCATCTTCATCATCAATGACCACTTGAAGAATCACTTTCACAAATAGATCATCATGGTGAAAGCTTAAGACTATAGCGAGCAACCAAGGGAGATTACTCTAAATGCCCAGTGCGGTACGGGCATCAAGGATGCTGCAGTTGCCAATCCAAAATGCTTCATATGATCAAAGAGTGTGAAAATTCTGTAGTGAACATGTGACAAAAAAAGTATGCATCTGTTTTCCTTTGTTTGTTGAATCAAAATTATATGTACATTTGGCCAAATGGGTTATTGTGCTACATAGAAATGTGATTGATATCATGTTAATGTTGATGATCATAGGACTCCGACCTATGAAGTCTGTAAGACTGCAGCACATTAAGATTAATGTGTATGACTGCTCCAGGTATTCTCAATGCTGCGTTTGGCCCAGGAAAAGGTCAGGATGACATCATTGGTATTGAGATGCAGTCAGACATCTTGTTCATTTTGTCTACATTGTGTGATGGGGACATGCACAGAAAGGTAAATACTCAACTAATAATGGAACAAAATACTTAACAAATTGCCAAGAAAATTCATAAGAAATCAGATACTTTAAAATAAGGGTGTGAGGTATTACTCGTATATCCGTTAATTGAGGTTCATTCTTTCCACGATACTTGTCACAATATCATTTTTTCAACCTCAATATATCGGATGATTTCAAGTTGGAAATGTTATATACTTGCCAAATGCCTTCGCTGCTCAGGAGTGAGCATCCAGGGCCCCTTAATGTAACAGATTGCTTCTGAATTATAAATTTAGAATTATTCAATATATTGTGATACGTATTGCCTTGTGCATTGCAAATATTGTGATACACTTTAAGCCTCCATTACTCATCCCTACTGTAGAATGATAAAGTTTGGTCAAATGTTGAATGCTGTGCATATCTAGTTGTGTATGTGTTTGTATATGATATGTACACACTGACAACATATGGAACAGACATAACCCTATATTTTCTTATTTCCTTATATTCTATATTGCTTGATTTTTTCGCAGGAGTTGTTTGGCAACCAAGGAGTGGACATTGTTGTGGATTACCTCAGGACAAACACAAAGCTGCTCAACAGTGGGCTGGGACATCACCGACTTCTCCTGGCTGCTGTAGACTGTGCTTGGTGAGTCAATGCAACATGTCTACGGCCACTCATAGGAAAGACCATGGATCTATGACCATGCATTGTTAAATCCCTTCACAAACCTGATTATATCTATATCTGTTAGGTGAAACATAAACAATACCATACTAAACAATCACAGAATGTGGTGTATTCTTCTTTTATGACTATTAATAATATATTTATTTGACAAGATAAAGCATTTTTGTTATCTATTTCAAATTGTTGAATCTTGATGAAAAGATCCCAAAAACTCAAAATAATAATGTCCCTCCTTTTCATGATTAATCACTCAGCAAAATGTATTATTTTGTCATATATCCACATCCGAAACACAAGACAAGAGATTGTACAAAGAGACAAGTTGTCTCCCTGTTGTAGGTGTGCAGTAGTGGGCTGCTACAGTACAGAAGACTACTACCTGGAGAGGGAGGGCGTGTTCCTACTGGTGGACCTCCTGGAGGTCTGCCCAAAGAACATGCACAACCTCATCCTGGGATGTCTGCTGGACCTGTGTGAGAACCCCAAGACGGTAAACCATGTGCTCACCTGGCGAGGCAAGGGCAATTCCACAGTGGCTCACCTGTTGTGTGAAATATGGAGGGCAGAGGAAATGGAGATCGGGGCACGCAGGGATGCTCATGGCGCTATCACAGGTGCTGTATAGATTTTGTTGCCCTAATGCAAGTGAGGCACAAGTGACCCTATCATGTAAGGTGCTGATGTGCAGAGTTGTTTCATGGCCTTTTGCCCCGATTATGAAGCTTAGTCTCTTATAACCATATAGTGATATACTTTTGCTTATGGGTTTCACAACCTGCTTCTTTTCCTAATAAGCCTTAAACCTACCCAACTACTCACTCTTTGATAACTTCTATATCTCGGTGCATTTTAAAATTATTTTATATATATATATATATATCATTTAGAAATAACATCACCTTTTTGCATATTTGCAGATGTCAAGCGCCCTCTGATGGGAAAAATGCAAGCAGAGCTTGGAGTTATCCCCCTACCAGCCAGATGTCCGAGTCAGTCCATTGTTGATGTATATGAGAACATGCGAGCCAAGATCTACTCTGTGTTCTGTAAGATAGGTTTCACAGATCTGCCTGGACTGTGTGTGGAGGACCATGTGACTCTCACCATCATAGAGAAATACCTGGACTTCAAGCAAGGTGAAGTGTGGACGGAGATCATCACAGAGCTGGAGACGGAGAGGATGCGGCCTGTTACCCCAGACCTGGAGGCCATTGAGGCTATATCTCGAGCTGTGGAAGAGCGAGCTGCAATTGTGGCCAGCACCCAGGTGGAGCTGCTTGAGGCTCAGAAGAACCAGGATGTGCTGGATGAGCAGGAGTTCTATGCTGAGGTAAGGGAATAGTAACAGATTGTGTTGGAGAGGGAATGATCTGAGATAGTGTTGGAAAAATTGAGGTATTGACAGGAATGAGGAGTGAACAAACATTTATATTCCCACTTCTTGTGTCATCTGTCTGCCCAAATGAACTTGTCCTACTAATGTATAAATGTTGAGGAACAATTCTGGTTATTTAGAGAACCTTTGTTTAATAATGACCGTTATATGTTCAGATACGAGAGAACCACCGCCAAAAGGAGAAAGCTTTGAGCGACTTCTCCGACTATGTGGCCCGTACATCCAACTACACTCTCCTCAAGGTAAGCAGGACTATAAGCTTATTTTCATAAAGGAAAAAATTGGCATCATAGTTTTCAATTCAATTCAGGATCACATGACATTCAGTGCCACAGTTTGTATTTTTAAGGCATCCTTTTTAGGTTAATCATTCATACTTGTCTGTTTACAGGCAGCCAAGGAGAGGCAAGAGATTTCTATTGATGCTTCAAGGGTACAGGGAGGATACACGAATGCGTAAGTATTGATACGGGGATTGGTCAATAACTTATTGGACTAAGGCATAAGCTGCTCAAAGTTACCGGTAAGCGTGCAAGGAGATCAAACCATTAATATGACATGAATAAGAGGACTGTTATTGATAATGTGTATGTAGTTTATGAAATTGTAACAATGGCATACTTATTTCCAGGGAAACATTTCACAACACAGACCTGCAAAATCTTCAAACTACAGTGAGTATACAGTTATCTCGGATAGTTATCAGCGCCTTGAAAGATGTGTTTACTTGTTACTTGTGTATATTTTATTGCATCATGTGTCAACACATTCACAGCAATGCATTTTTCTTTTGTACACCGTCTCTTGACAACTTTTATGTTTGCATGCTATCACTATTATTTACCGTTATCTTTGTCACCAGACATTCAGTGGCCGGCACATTGTAGTGGAGAGCACCCCTGTCAGTCAGGCCCAGGCCTCTCTCACAGCATATGACCCCAACAACATTCCCAACAAGATCCTCATACAGAAACATCTCACTATATGATTTCACTGCAGGTAATGTTATTAGAAATTGTCTAAAAGTTTGATGGAAGCAAGTAAAAATTTCCTTATGCAGCATCAACAATATTTATATATATATATATATATATTAATTTTGTATTACAGAAGAAAAGAAACTGAAGAGGTGAAGTGTCTGTGATATATGACGGTTTTGTCAGCAGCTTTGTAAATACGTGAAGATTGGCTTGTTTAAGGAATGCTGTATGGTCTTCTGGAAAATGGTACCCTTTCAAAAGGAAAATGTAGGATATATATTTGTTTCAGTCTGAAACCATATATATATATATATCCAGAAGTAAAGTGTGACCATCTGTATATCCATTATGAAAGAGATAAGTATAAAAATGTGTCAAAACTGAAAGAATTATTATTTATCATGTCAATGTACATAATAAACATCTATAACAAACAATAGTTTACTTCATTCTGCAATTTATTCACGATGTTGTTTGAACATGGTTCCAGTCAGTGACTATACATTTGAACATTGGCTAAGGTGTCGCCTACCGACAACACCCACACAAGCTGGAGGAGGAGTAGGCCACAAAGAAAACGGATGAGAAAACTCTGTTAAATGGGAGTTATGTTGTCCCTTTTGAAATATTGCAGCCAGGGGACAACAAGAATGGATTGTTGTTTCCAGCCAGTTGAGACAAAACCCAACTCCTCCTGTGTCCTGCCTGAATGGGTTCGGTCCTCTTCCTCTCGATCTACTGACTGGATATACACAGGATGATAGACATGTGCCATTGTCACAGTTGAAGGAGAAGCACCAGAAGGGGGCCATTTTCAGTCGGGTTTCTGGTGATGGTTATAGACACCAAGGCAGGTACATCGGTGGTGGCTCAGAAAACACCATTAAGTGGCATTCCTTGACCGATTCAGCTGCTTATTTACCTTATATATCATTAGATAACTACACACTTTTCTTGCAAATGAATGGGACTCTTTACTGATATAACCTTTAGACTTAGCAATTCAGCATTCATATTTCTGAGCCACCCACCTATGGTTATAAATAGCTAGGTTATATACATTCTAGATCTATTTGATCGACCATCAAGTTTCTAACACTGAGAAAATGCTGTATAATGGTAGAATACATGAAGGATAAAACATACATGATAAAACTTCAATAATCAACATGATATATACTAGATGCTACTGTGTGTCGGTAATCAACATTGTGCTGGGACTATGACAACCAACAGTCTCCACAACCTTTGGTAACAACCCAGGGACTGCCCACAGTGATCGGAAGACACAAGCCTCACTATCTGTAAACATTTGTCGACCAAAAAAACCCAAACACCACTGATATCGGATTCATAAGCTCTCATCACAGCTGTGTAGTTATTACTTCTGTTCATGAAACAAACCTGATAAAGCATTGTTCATTACAAATTGAGCAATGGATAATACTGTTCTAGAACAAGCATTTTGAGACTATGAGGACATTAGTACAAAATATATAGCTTTCTCAAACCCCCATATGTAATATTTCATCTACAGATGCATTTTCATCTAAGTTGGTCATGAATAGACAAAATAATTCTTGGGTTTTCTAATACACTTGGGGAATGCTTTTTCTCGTCAGCAGTATTACAGCTACATCATGTCAGCCTTTATAAAACTGGCAAACCAGACAATCCTTGCCATAAGTCAGTGCAACTACCTGGCTCTCACAAGTACAGTGTATTCAGTCCACTGACATGTGTTGACAGCTGTGTATATGACCACTGGGGCAAGTTCCCCCTCTAATATGGTCGATAAAGAAGCTAATGTACTCCCAATTTTATGCTCCCACTGATGCTAATCAAGACTTCATTTCAGAAACACAACTAAATAAATGCATAAAAAGTAGGTCCATAAATTTGCACTAAACTTAACAGTGGAAAGAGAAAATATAAACAGTCTCTCCAAATCATAGATAATGCAAGTAAAGTTTTGGACAGAAAGCCTGACTGGAATCCTGCTGTGATGTGATCAGTGCATAGATCTAACATAGAGTTGTAAATTGGGCAACCACGGCACAATATAAGGTGATATTACCTAGAGACAGGCATGTAGATATATAATCTATAGATACTCCCGGCCTGTTATATACAGATCACATAGCACACACTGGATCACAGTAACGGGACTCCCTGGGTGACATACATCCACATACAACATCTACAGCATCACATAATCAGTGCAGGCAGAAGGGAAGGTACTAAGTTGATCTGTTACAAGGAATAGGGAAAGAGAACTGTAACTTGTTCCAGTTAACTAGCTTGGGTTGGTAAGCTTTGTTCAATGTTTGACCATGGGCAAAATAATTCACAACCGTTCATAAGGACTTGAAAAAGTTTCATTAATTTCATATATACCAGTTTCATTTTCATTACAAAATATCCAGTTCATATCATTGTTCTAACCTCTTTAGTGCAACACTAAACAGTCTAACCTAAACAAACACCTTCAGTGACAAACACAAAAGTTGACATTCTTATGGAAACATATGGTTATAAGAAGCTACCAGTACATTAACTTCAAATCATCATTTCCAACCCAGCTACATGGAATGTGCATTACCTAACTACTGGGATATATAGATTTGGTGTTTCTTTATTTCAACAACCAGATTTCATTAATTGCATTCACGGGTCCCCAGGGCAAAGTAATGGCAATGACATTTATTGAAGATAAAGTCTTAAAAGCTCACAGATTTACAGGCTTTGAAATTCCACTGACTGAATATGCATGGTTCTATTTTATTCAACATTTGTTACGCATGATTTGTTGATCCAGCACTTATATAGGAAGTAATCCTCCAAGAATGACACTATCTATGACACTAAGTTCTAGAACAGTTTAGCTGGGGTCCAAGGCTAGCTTCCAAGCATCAGCAGTTATCATCAGCACTTAAACAATAGGTAACCCAGCCAGAGACTGGTTAATAATATATATGTACAATTTCAACAATTTTACAAAAAGCTACAAAATTACAGTGGGAATTCTTATCAAAAGCCATTTTCCTACCCCAGATTTGATCTATACATTACAAAGTCAAGGTACAAGATCAGATATTGTGTTTCTGATTTCAGCCTTTTCCCAAGATATTGTATTTAATACCTGTTGCATGCATTAAAAAGCAAGGCAATGGCTGTCATCAAAAGGAAATCAATCATATTGGTATAGACCAATAACTGTGTTGACCTTTAAATTTAACATATATTGCAGTCTCAGTAAAATACGGAATACGCAAAACCGAAGTAGAACTCTTGTATTTTCCAGCTAATGATCATGTTTATGCTGATAAAGAGTCAACAATCTAAGACTACATGTAACACTTGCTGATACAGCTACGCTCAGGAATAGACTTACGGGCTGGTTCTCGACCTCAATGGATGCTTCATGGACAATAGACACTTATGGATAGGTTGATACATGCAAGCAAGTGAAAGGGTTTTAGGCCATTTGGTCTGCTAAAACCAAAACAACACAATCCATTATAATGATTCCACCAAAACAGATGTAATATTGTTGATAGTGGCTTAAAGCAACACTCACTAACTTGGGAAGAAATCCACAAGATCATAGCTGGAAGTTGGTCTTCCCTGTATGAAGTGTTATTACAGGGCACACTTTGGAATTTATGGTTTAGGGAAGTTTTTGTAACCAAATAGCTCAGTCAAAATAAGAATAAATGTGTGGTGCTTAATATGTTTTGATGTTGTTTAGCATTAAATTGTTTCGGTCAGTCGATTGAGTTGGGGAAAAAAGTGCTATCATTTTTGCACAATGCTTAGCATTCATATAGTAAGAAGTATATTTATTTACTTCTGTAAATGTATTTGTTCTATGTGTAAGATGCTTGCAGTAGCCAGAGACTACATTCAATGCATTTAATCAATTACTATCTAGAAAGGTCAGTTATTTAAACTTTACATGACTTTCATAGTTGTATCTTTTACTTTTCCTAATCCATCAAAATTTGGATAGACAAGCAGTTAGACGAGATCTGAAGAATGTTAATATTATTTCTGATTGTGGATTTTGGCTCCAGTCCGTCGAATCCAAGAAACCAAACATTTGACCCCAAAAATTTACATTCCTGGTATTACTGCCATCTTACACAACAGTGACCAGAGGGGACCTAATCTGTCCTGGATTCCTAACCAGGGAGAAAATTTAAGACACATTCAGAAAGCAACACAACAAACAGAGCAGATGGAAAAAAAATGGAGACAGACAGAACAAGGAGGACAGAGGAAGATGGGGACAATGTATAGACAGTAGAGATGGACAGAGAAAGAAGGAGACAATGTATAGAATCAGTAGAGATGGACAGAGGAAGATGAAGATAATGTATCGACAGTGGAGATGGACAGAGGAAGATGAGAACAATGTATAGAATCAGTAGAGATGGAAAGAGAAAGGAGACAATGTATAGAATCAGTAGAGATGGACAGAGGAAGCTGAAGACAATGTATAGACAGTGGAGATGGACAGAGGAAGATGAGAACAATGTATAGACAGAAGGGATGGACAGAGGAAGATGGGAACAATGTATAGACAGAAGGGATGGACAGAGGAAGATGGGAACAATGTAGAGACAGAAGGGATGGACAGAGGAAGATGGGAACAATGTATAGACAGTAGAGATGGACAGAGGAAGATGGGAACAATGTATAGAGACAGTAGAGATGGACAGAGGAAGATGGGAACAATGTATAGAGACAGTAGAGATGGACAGAGGAAGATGGGAACAATGTATAGAGACAGTAGAGATGGACAGAGAAAGAAGGAGACAATGTATAGAGACAGTAGAGATGGACAGGAAGACGGGAACAATGTATAGAGACAGTAGAGATGGACAGAGGATGACGGGAACAATGTATAGAGACAGTAGAGATGGACAGAGGAAGATGGGAACAATGTATAGAGACAGTAGAGATGGACAGAGGAATACAGGAACAATGTATAGAGACAGTAGAGATGGACAGAGGAAGACAGGAACAATGTATGGAGACATTAGAGATGGACAGAGGAAGACGGGAGCAATGTATAGAGACAGTAGAGATGGACAGAGGAAGACGGGAACAATGTATGGAGACATTAGAGATGGACAGAGGAAGACGGGAACAATGTATAGACATTGGAGTTGGACAGAGGAAGATGGGAACGATGTAAAGAGACATTGGAGATGGACAGAGGAAGACGGGAACAATGTATAGAGACAGTAGAGATGGACAGAGGAAGACAGGAACAATGTATGGAGACATTAGAGATGGACAGAGGAAGACGGGAACAATGTATAGACATTGGAGTTGGACAGAGGAAGATGGGAACGATGTAAAGAGACATTGGAGATGGACAGAGAAAGATGGGAACGATGTAAAGAGACAGTGGAGATGGACAGGGACAGATGACATTATCGTGTCACTTGCATCGTCAGTTACTATAAACATTCCTTAACAATGAGCAATGAATGCATCACTCATATCCATGGTAACTGCAGTTGCATAAAAAAATAATTTGTGGGTATGATATACACATGGTCTAGATCAAATTCAACAATGAATAGTTATAATCATAATAATAACATCACAAGTGACTTTACTCCCTATATGGTGTATATTGGATGATTGATAAGTATATCTGAGCTTGCATATCTAATGGATAGCTGTATACAGTCGGACAACCAAACCGCCAGTTGCTGAGGAATAATATTCATGTTCAACATAGGCTTATGATACCAAGTATTGTTTTTCTTAAAATAACAACAAATGTATCCCTATGAGATTGTCTAGCGAAGGGATCATTGTTTGGAATTTCCAATATTGTTGGTACCAGTTGCCCAGGACATGTCCTGAAGTCCCCACAATGTGGCTGCACTGCATGATGCTATATCATAGAACACATCACAGAATTTCACAATGGTTGACACTATATACATCACCAACACTCTGTGATGAATGGTGCTGAACTTAGATGAAGCTCCCATAGAAGGTGTAAGAATCGAGCTCTGTTCTCACAAGATTGAAGGCCTCCGCAGAAAAATCAATCAATTTTGCTCAGTACAATGCTCAAGACAGAAAAAGTTTAACACTGTAAATCTCAACAATAAAGCAGCAATGTTTGTTTAATCAGGGCAAAATGTTTGAAGAATTTGTACATCTAAATATCACTGAACCTCTTAGTTTTAGTTGTCCTATTAGGTTTGAACTGTTTCTTTGCAATATTAAGTTCTGACTCTTCAATATCAGAGGACTTGAAAATATGGTGTCCTCAACCATAACTGCCATCTGGCCCCTCCCTAACCAACTCTGATAAAATGTTCATGACTACTCCTTCATGTTAAAACCTTTAACTTTTGCTGTCAAGATGATTAGAGGCATTGCTGCCATTTGACTTAGTTAAAATAGTTCTAAAAGAAGCCATGCATGTACGTGACTCCTTAACATAACATAAGAAAAGAATTCAAGCAAGCACCACTTGATTACAAGAAAACCATTAACTTAGATGCATGGTTTACCCAGTAAACTGCTCACAAAATTCCAGTTCTTCTTTTGTCCTCAACACATAAGTATTTCAAATTAACAGTCTGGAAAAAACCTGGAAAACAGCTAAGCACTACCCCTTCTTTTTTTCAAAGATTTTAAACTTCCATGTATCTTTTGGAAATATCTACAAAAGACATTGATCTCATTTTGATAACTGTTTAAGATACCACTGGTTCATGATGATTCAGTACAAGACCATTGGTTATCCAGATGGTAGAAATGACTGGGTTATATCACATGATACAGAAAAGCAGTGGTGGTAACTTTAAGGGTAGTCAAATAATTATTGCCATCAAATAGTTGGAAAATATGTCATTACATCATGCATATCAGTATCTGTATTTCAATATGACTCACTTTGTAAACAGAAACAAATATGTCTCATTAGACAATAGACGCAAAAAATGTGTCAATATATGGCCAGAATAAATATGGAAATATATACCAGTAAGCAGTGATCAGTTATTTTCCAGGTGTATATTAGTTGTTTGATGCTTAGTACCACTTTCACACATCTCCAAATTCAGCACCATCAACACTTTGTGAATCATCAGAATTCAAATGTTATGACATTGTCAGTTATGAGTACAACATCAATGCTAACTGCTTGTGACATGACCGTGCAGGCTGCTGCCGCTGCTGCTGCTGTTGTAGTACTCCCTGGTATTGTGATGACACCCCAACATGGCACAGTCGGCCACATGGCTGCCACCAACATCACTCAATAGTTGGTCAAATCAAATTTCACATACATCATAATTCATGAAAACAAAATCAGCACCATCATACATCAACAGAAATAGAAACAAACCAATCACACATTAGTGCAAACCCTGATAAAAAGAATCTGGCCATGAATACTTGGCGATAAAAATGTACACCAAATTAGTGTCTCGTTCACAAAAATAAGATCTGTTGACAAAGCTGCTACTCAATAATGAAAAAACTGTTAGATTTCACCTCAGATTTTAAAAAAATGAACACATTGAGGGAAAAAGAAACATTGTTTTTGTTCACTTGCATTAATCTTTGTTCGTGTATCATATCAATACATCAGACACCCATGTTCATCAGACACACACTTCTGAATGTATTCATATGATGAAAAAAGACAGTGAAGCAACATAAAAATCCGCAGAAATACTGTGACATGAACATCAAGCAAGTAGTTGATTATTACTGGGTGGTTGCTTCATGGGTACTTGTTCAAGAGAATCATTAACAGATCCACTATGTTATGACATTTGTAATGTTAAAGAGTACAATCTAATAAAGATATTCATAAACAACAACCATGGATTATGTCGTGGTTCCAAAACAGGGAGGTAGGTTGTATTTGTACTTCTTTAAAACACACCCTGCAACTGTGTTTTAGAGCTATCAGTACTGAAGGTTCAGCTGTTTAGTTAATATTGTCCAAGAGTGACGTTGTTTTGGCATGGACTGTGAGTACCCCTAAATAAGAAATCATAGGCTCACTGTGCTCAAGACAGCCACCACTCAGCCTGAAAGGTATAGCAAGTAACCATAGATTGTATTACATCCAGTCATTATGGGATATCTATACAAAAGACTCCAAAGAGGAGTTAAACTCATTAAAATTACAGTCCTACGAAACATATTAGTACCGTATTTCCTCTATTAGACGCCTGGGCTTCTATTTATTTCGGACAAGCCTTTGACCCGGCGGCAATTAGAGTCCCGGCGTCTATTGGAGGCCGGGCTTCTATTAATACCCCCATTTCACTATGACCACGAATGTCCCGAATCGTCACGAAATGGAAATATTTTGTGTTTTCATAGATATCCATATCAACTGATCGACGCGGTGTCTATTAGAGGCCCGGCTTCTATTTTTTGCACTGAACAATTGACCCGGCTTCTATTAGAGGACCGGCGTCTAATAGAGGAAATACGGTACTTTACCCATCTAATTCAAGAACATTTTTACATATCAGCATTGCCTGCACAGATGAATACATGATGAAACCCATGAAACAACCACCCACCTTTGTCAGTGCCGCTGACCTGGTGAGTGCGAGGTACATCACATGGTCATGGTGCTACACCTCAACTAGAAGCATTCCACATCAAACATAAGTACATGTATACAGTGCCAAAATCATATGGAGATGTTCTGTAGATGCCACAGGTTACATCTTAGCTACACGGCAGGGTAGACACCGTCAGATAAATCCAACCCGTCCACAGATCAATCTGGACTTGTTTTTGTAAATGAAGTAGGTTATGGAGGAAACATGTAGTTCATCCAGACTTTTACTGCAGACTAGTTGCTGTGTCCAACCCCAAATGGTCATGCAAAACATGACCACACTGTGAAACATCTCAAGTACTCCACTTTGTCCAGCTGTAGTGATGTTTGAAGTGAACATGTTTAATGTTCAGAGTCCTCTCAACATCCCCCACTGCAGTTGTTCCAGTGACATGTAACAATTCCTCGTCTCCTCCCACAGTTTCAGAAAGCAAACAATAATTTCGCTAATTGATCTATTTGGAAACATTGAGGCTGGACAAGGGGCTGAGCAGCCAGGATGTGATCACAAATCAATAAAGTGTTGTAGCAGTGGTGCAGCCCAATATGCCACGGTGGTGAACAGGGACTGCATGGTGTGTAGCCAGGATCATCCCGTGACAAATCGTCCAGCAACAATCACCGAGTCCTTGGTCTCCTTGTGGCCAAAGATACTCACAATTTCCTAAGGTATGGTGTTTTACTCATGACAATCAGAGAATGTAAAGTGCCACAACCTAACACTCATTGTTTTAGTGCCTTGTTAAATTTTCATTTGTTTTCTTATAAATGAACCAGCATGAAACTGCTGCTGAGAGTTGATAATCATGACTGCTGAGTTTATTCAAGAACAACTGAGAGTCAGCCTACTATGTATTGCTTGCTTTCAGAACAGTTGAGGAATAGCCTATTACAAGAACTGTATGTTGTCTCATGTGAGAATGCTTGTGTCTTTCTCAGTTCCTGATACATTTGTTATAACACTGTCTGATACATCTGTTATAAAAGTGTCTGATATATCTGTTGTAACACTGTCTGATACATCTGTTCAGCAGTAGAAACTAACACTTTTAGTCCACTAGTCCTTAATAATAACATATGGCAAAACTCTTAAATTGGCAAATTTCCACTAGCCCTTATGATACCTGAACCATTGGGCAGTTTGGCAAGGACTACAGGACAAGTGCCAATTTCTAATGCTGGTGTTATAACACTGTCTGATACTTCTGTTACAACACTGTCTGATACATCTGTTACAACACTGTCTGATAAATCTGTTATAACACTGTCTGATACATCTGTTATAACACTGTCTGATACATCTGTTACAACAGTCTCTGATGTAGCTGACTGCTGACTGGAGTGGGGTATATTTCAAGGACAGTAATTCTTATTTTCCTCCCAAGCCACATTCCCCACCTGACGTGAGAATGGGGCGATATACACACGTGTGCAAGTGTTTACACCATTCAGTACACACAGAATGGTAGCCCCCTTTCACTCAAGCTCACCTCCATCCCCACCCCTCCAAAATATCAGTGAAAGGGAGGCAACCTATTCACAAATGTCAGACTTATTGTATTATGTCATAATCAGATTTTGTGAATAAGTAGTGGTTTATTTTTCACAAATGTTACAGATAAACATCTCCTCGGTATCATCAAGGGTAAGGCAATAATATTCACGTGAATACTGCAATGTTTGTGTGTTCAGTCAGTGAGGTATTGCCTGGCAGTACCAGCAGGAGAGGTGGGAAACTGAATCAAATTACGCCAGCTTCAACAGCATGGTCTTGTTTGTAGCTTCAGATAGGCAGGGATCGTAAATACACAGTAACAAATCTCAGTGGAGCAGAAGTGTTGAGGTAATCACCTGTCTGCCTGTATTTGACATACTGTGTGTATGCAGGTTATTAATCACACCTGCACTAACCTGCAGGGAAAAACACCTGCGTAGTTAACACTCTGTCACTACTTAGCAGGAAATCAACTCTATCTTTCTCACCTGGTGAATGTATACATGTAGTATTCACATGGACACAATGATGATACAGTTACAGTATGGTGGACTATGCATAGTTCCAAGTGTCAGATGTTCCTCATGGTGTAACATGGGTATTCTACCGTCGGTGTGTTGGTTATACACTGGTAGAAGTAACATTATTACTTTAATTGGACATTAATTAATAATGTTAATTAAAATTTCCCCATGCCCCAAATGGTTTAATATTGTGTCTCATTGCTTGGCTAACCTTTTCAAAAGATTACAAAATTAGCTGCAGAATTTTTAAAAACCATTTAGTGGAATTAGAAATAGTAGAATTGTTCTGGGAATAGTAGTAAAAAATGGCATGTGGTAACATTTTTGTATGAAAATAGAATATACATAAACAAACTATTTCAATGACCTATCAGTAACCTCAGTTATGGAGTACTGTGATAAATATAAATGTCCATGTGTCATGTCATAGACTGGGTTGGGATGGAGGAGCTTATGGTGTGGACTCACACCAGACAGAAGGCTGTAGCTCCTGTATTGTGGGTAATCTGACCAGCTGCTCTTTTGGCAGAATGTAGGAGACATGCACTTCTTCAAATATAATCATATATCTCTACCAGCAATATTCAACATGTTGACTGTTTGTTGGATGAAATCAGTTCTGTGGAACAATTTCATTCCATCAAACACTAACACATCAGCTCAAGTCAGAGTGGGAAATGTGGCTTAATAATCATGGCAGAACGTAATGAGGACAATAAAAACAGTACACAATTATTCAAAATGCCATATCAAAATTACATAATAAACAATATATCAACCAAATCTATATAGGCGCCTGAGACGCTGACAAAACAATGGCTGGTGGCGAGGGCCAACATGAGATCATTGAGAACGGGAGAATGTCAAGATCATTGTAGTCCAGATCATTTGGGGTCAACTGATGTCAAAAGTCAAACCGGGGAGTAGGCTGAGAAAGCAGAACCCTCAAAAGTAGTAGTTGTCACTAGGTCGTCATGGATCGGCACAAAATGCTGGAATGGAAGAAATTTGAATGGTTCAAGTGAATTGCTTTCCCTGTGGACTGAGTAGAATGAATCTCCTTTGTCTTAATATAATGTAACCTGTTTCAACTGAAATCAAAGATTGACAACTTTGTGAAGCAACTGATATTGTTTAACTGCAGAATATATCTCCAATAACACTAAAAACACAATACATTGTCAATCTCAAATGAAGACCATCTTTTCAATAGTTAATCCCAAATGTGTGTAACTTAAGTAGTATAGGTAATGGTTACCTATACTACTACTTACCATATCATCTCCCTCCATTAGTGTCCGAGCTACAGGATCCTGCACACCACGCTCTGGTTCTGATACATCCCTGAAGAAAGTCTGTAGTCGACAAGTGAACAAAGCACACTCATCATCCAAGAGTGCATCAAGATAAATGTCTGTGTCACTCGGTACATGTCGCGCCTGCTTGGGTGGCAGGGGAGAGGTTGCACTTAGGGTCACAGAGGTCAAACTGGAAGTCACAAGGGTCACAGAAGCAGGGACGACCTGATCAAAGGCAGATGATTTTGTTTCCTGCAGGAGACTCCTGAACCTTGACTGTTCCGAGACTTCAACACACTGACGCTTACAGGCTTCAGAAGGTTCACATGAAGATTCTGGAATTTCCCTATTGTCTGAACACACAGATTCCTCATCCAGTTTGAGTGATGGAACATTAGAGTCGTCTCCCTTTGGGGATGATCGACTAGCTGCCACTTTGAGAGCTAGAGGTGTCCATATTGGAGGCATGATTGTGGGAGGAGAGTACTCCTCGAAGATTGCCTGAGATGGTCGGTTGGGTTGTGGCATGGACAAACCGAGGGCTATGGATGTGACAGGGGCAGGAGAGTGGGACTTTCTGGTGCCACTGACAACATCTGGTGTCAGTTCCAGCTCTTCTCTCAACAGAGGTAGCTTGCAGGGTGCCCTCAGTTTGAGAGGAGCACTGGAATCATGGGTCACAGATTCTCTCACATTTTCACTGCTTCCCTGTGAAAGTTGTTCAGAAGTCGAGGACACGGGTTGCCCTCCACTAGAAACATGACTGGAATCATGAAACTTGGATGGGACAGTTTGTTCAATGTTAGATATACAGTCAACCTTACTACTGGAAGACAAGGAAAAGTCAGATTGTGTAGACTGCAGCCCACGACCTGCGTGGACAGCACTAGAGGAGGTGGTCAGAGACTTGACTTCTTCATTTGAGTCACATGAGTCAGTCACAAGATGAGGTGCAGCTCCTGCTGATGAGGATGGCTGGTAGTTGTCATTAATATCCCCAGATTTCATCTGAGTCTGCTCCTGCCTGCAGGCTGGCTGTGATGGACCCTGCTCAGGGCCACATGGAGGAATGCTCTGTGTATTGCACTTGAGATCTGTATTGTTGTTGTGCTCAGGCTGGTCAGGTTTGGCTCCACAAGACATCTGACTCTGCCTCAGCCTCTGCTCCAACTGCTGCTGCACTCTCAGTAGCTCCAGCTGGCTCTGTTGGACAGCCAGGAGTTGCTGCTGGATCTGAGCCTGAGTCACCTGGATCCCACTCACCCCGCCACCCAACTGACTCTCTGCTGGTGCAGGTGGACAAGGACCTGGAGATACTCGTGTCACATTTGAGTTGATGTCACTCGGAACACCCAGTTGTAATCCCTGAGTCACTGAGCTGTGTGTTCGTGTTGTACTAACGTTAGATATAGTCACACCATGAGGCAGACGCTGGTAAGGAGGTTGCCGGGATGATGGTGTAAGAAGATGGTGGATGACATCAGACACACCTGAGGTGTCTGGATGATGACGACTAGATTGTTGATGTTGCTGTGTGAGCAGCTGTTGTTCTTGTTGTTGCTGGTGATGGGTGAGATCATGTTGATGAGGATGAGGATGATTGTTGTCATTGTCGTCCTGTTTATGCTCGTCACTCATGGCCATGTTTAGCTGCTGCAACTCCTGCAGAAGCTGTCGCTCCTTCTCCTCCAAACTCTGCCAACACACAACACAGGGAGTTAGATTAACACGGACATAGGTACTAGTAACTGTCATAGAAACAGTGACGTGCACTTTCACAATGTACCTCAGTAGGAACCTAGTGGAATGATACATGGTATCATGTGTTAAACATGGCACTAAGCACATCAAGGAGCCAGCATCTGCCAGAGAATGATCAAAGATATGTAAGGTTGTGATAACATATATGATACAATATAGGAAAACATCACACAGGCCATGTCAGTGAGCCATATCAATCAATGAAAATGTCTTTATCCATTAGTCTAAACTAAGATTTTTTGGAAATAATATTATCCATTTGCTTCAGGTGAAGTCTTTTCTGAAGTGAGCACTGAAAACAAGTTATAACGTCAACCCAAAAGACCTTAAAACATGCAAACCATATCAACATATGTCGACTTTATTAAAAACATGTTTATATATATATCTGTGTATACTTAAACTGTCACAATAATGATCTCATATTTATATATATATATATTACTAGTCATATTAATATCGCTGATGTTGTAATATCTTTATATGTGTTTTTACAACATTTTGATTGTTGTTTAACGCCACACTCAGCAATAATCCAGCTATATGACGGCGGTCTGTAAATAATCAAGTCTAGACCAGACAATCCACTGATTGACATCATGAGCATCGATCCACGCAATTTGGATATGATGACATGCATCAAACAAGTCAGCAAGCCTGACCACCCGATCCCGTTAGTCGCCTCTTACGCATGGGTTGCTGAAGACCTATTCTCTTCCTGGATCTTTACGGGTCCCGATGCACAGCAGACCATGAAGGCTTTATTAAAGCATTGATGTATAACAGGCCATAAAAGGTTCATAAAAGCACTGATGCACAACAAACCATGAAAGGTTTATATAAGCATATACTCACAACAACCAATGAAAGTTTTAAATAATCATTGATGCACAACGGCCTATGAAAGGTGTATATAAAGATATACTCACAACAGCCTATGAAAGGTGTATATATAAGCATCAATGCACAACAGCCATTGAAAGGTTCACATAAACATTGATGCACAACAGACCATGAAAGGTTCACATAAGTATCGATGTACAACAGACCATGAAAGGTTCCCATAAGTATCGATGCACAACAGCCCATGAAAGGTTGACATAAGCATCAATGCACAACAGACCATAAAAGGTTGACATAAGTATCGATGCACAACAGACCATAAAAGGTTGACATAAGCATTGATGCACAACAGACCATGAAAGGTTGACATAAGCATCAATGCACAACAGACCATGAAAGGTTCACATAAGTATCGATGCACAACAGACCATAAAAGGTTCACATAAGCATCAATGCACAACAGACCATGAAAGGTTCACATAAGCATCAATGCACAACAGCCCATGAAAGGGGACACGAGCATGGCTTCACTTACACTTTACAATTGTGCACTGACATCAATAATGAGAAGTGCCAGCTAGCAATTCCTTGTGCGCTGGCTATGACGCAAGCTGGTCTGTGGTGATGGTCTGACGGTGAGCTGTGGGTGAGTCATCCCCAATCAAAGTACCAAACCACATGACTATACCACGCTCCTCCTACAATGTAGCCTTGACACCAAGTATCCCTTCCGCTACTCTCACCACTGTTCTGCTACTTCATGTCACAAGTATTGCTTCCCACATTTTGTTACCAGAACATTCACACCATAGCTCATTCAACACATTGGAAATATTTCTGGACATCCTGTTTGAAAGTGTTTCAAATTCTTCAGTGCTACATAACTAACTCCATGCTGTCACCTAACACCGCTACATACCATAAGGGTATTCCTACATACATGTGTCCAAGTTACATGTATGCTATAGAAATGTAGAAAGTTCACAAAATTTGTTTAGATATAGATACAACAGTGCACATGAAACTTTATTTCATCATTTAATCAAGTAGTTGTACATAATCCAAATTAATACCACCATGCGTACTTCTAAAGGGAGCTGCTACCATCTATAAAAGCAGTAAATATTTGTCTGCTTCTAGAATGATTACAGCAATATTATTAAACACTGCCCTGTTTATTAAACATATTCTATGGTTATGGTATAATTTTATTATTACTAGTGATTGAGTAAGTTAATGAATGAGACAAGGAGAGGGCCCAAGGATGCTTTTATCATTTGTTACCCCACCTTCCCACAAGTGAGTGAGTGAGAGAGAGTGAATGATAATAAACAGTTCCTCAGAGAGGTATTACTCATTTACTGATTGAGAAGGTTGGTAGTGTGAGACAGACCACAGTTGACATTTGGTTGTCCTTGGGTGCCTCCCACTCAGGTATCCTCCAGTCCACACTCCGCAGCTATCATGACCACCTGATCCCTGATGAGTGAGTGAGTGAGTGAGTGAGTGAGTTGGGTTTAACTCCGCTTTTAACATTATTCCAGTTATATCACGGCGTGTCAGCTTAATTTTGGAGAAAAGCCCGAAGTGATGCAAGTCTCCAATGTTTACAACTTCGGTGAAACCCACGAGCAAACCTAGAAACATAATCAGGGCGAACCGGGATTCGAACCCACAATCATAGGTTTCTGGCGTGCCCAAGGGACGCAACTGTGCACAGCGAATCGCGGAACCTTATACGACTTGGCCACCCGTGCCCCCTGATCCCTGATGAAGTCACTTTGTGCACCCTCTAGAGTGCCTCCCACTCTCCACACTCTTCAGCTTCAATGACCACCTGATCCCTGATAATGTCACTATCTGCACCCTCTAAAGTGCCTCCCTCTCTCCACACTCTGCAGCTTCAATGACCACCTGATTCCTAATGAAGTCTCTATCTGCACCCTCTAAAACGCCTCCCTCTCTCCACACTCTGCAGCTTCAATGACCACCTGATCCCTGATGAAGTCTCTATCTGCACCCTCTAAAGTGCCTCCCTCTCTCCACGCTCTGCAGCTTCAATGACCACCTGATCCCTGATAATGTCACTATCTGCACCCTCTGAAGTGCCTCCCTCTCTCCACACTCTGCAGCTTCAATGACCACCTGATCCCTGATGAAGTCTCTATCTGCACCCTCTAAAGTGCCTCCCTCTCTCCACGCTCTGCAGCTTCAATGACCACCTGATCCTTAATGATGTCACTATCTGCACCCTCTAAAGTGCCTCCCTCTCTCCACACTCTGCAGCTTCAATGACCACCTGATCCCTGATGAAGTCTCTATCTGCACCCTCTAAAGTGCCTCCCTCTCTCCACACTCTGCAGCTTCATTGACCACCTGATTCCTAATGAAGTCTCTATCTGCACCCTCTAAAGTGCCTCCCTCTCTCCACACTCTGCAGCTTCAATGACCACCTGATCCCTAATGAAGTCTCTATCTGCACCCTCTAAAGTGCCTCCCTCTCTCCACACTCTGCAGCTTCAATGACCACCTGATCCTTGATAATGTCACTATCTGCACCCTCTAAAGTGCCTCCCTCTCTCCACACTCTGCAGCTTCAATGACCACCTGATCCCTAATGAAGTCTCTATCTGCACCCTCTAAAGTGCCTCCCTCTCTCCACACTCTGCAGCTTCAATGACCACCTGATCCCTGATGAAGTCTCTATCTGCACCCTCTAAAGTGCCTCCCACTCTTCACTCAGCAGCTTCAATGACCACCTGAACCTTGATTAAGTCACTACCTGCATGAAAGGGTGGTGGTATTTTTTGTATAAAATATTTAGTTCCAGACACAAATAGCCATAACGGTCACTCACTAATTCACATGTTCACTCACTAACTCACTCGTTGACAGCTACATATACACCGAGTTACTAATTCTGTTGTCACTACCAAGCTCATTCCAGCAGCTGGAAGCTTGTGATGGTGCCTTGTAAAGACCAACTGTACAGCTAATCCTTATCACAGGAGTCACAGGCTCTTCAGATCTCTGATGAGAAACACAAGTCTGTCTGCAAAAACAACTGTTTCTCATCAGAGTAAATATCTAAATAACAAGTTCACATTAAACAGGATAATCTTGTTTGGATTTTCAAAGATTGCGTCTTCACCAGTGAGTAATATGTGAATATTTCCACACATATCAGTCGTTTTCACTGCATTCTGCCAACTTAACAGAAATGTACACCACTGACGTTTATAGCTTCCAATTATTCTCAGCAGTTAACTTTTCAGCCTGATTATCAAATGCCTAAATCACAGAGATGTTGGCTTACTGCCTACTATACAAACAAATCATGCAGCTCAGTTTCTCCTTCAAATGGCATAATTCTCAAAGAACTACACCACATTCTCAATAGTCATGATGGACTACCTCAGGTCACACATACCCAGCAACATTGAACATGTTCTGGGACTTTCAAACTAACTTTTGTGTACTTTTTATTTAAAGGAATCATGTCTTCTGATGCAATTCTAAGCAAACATCAAGAAAAAAATCCTGATCATATGTGGAGACATGAGCTCTGTCAATCTAGATTGCTGAAAAGAGTCAGATGTCATCACATGTTCAATTTTTCACAACAATATATGTGTTCACATGATGTTACGCTTCTAAGGTCCCCACTAACATGAAAACAATGGAACAATTGATCTGAAGTAGCCAGTGAGCATGAGAAAACAACATAATGCTCAGTGAGAATTGCTCAAAATAATTTCACTGATATCCATGACCCTCTGGTTTATATGCTGTTGCAACACACAAGACTTGTTTCTGTAGAAGAAGTGAATTCTGAACTTGCTCCTACGCACTACAGGTGATTCAGCAAACAATGTCCCACATTACTACTTTGACAACTTTTTTTCTGCTAACATTATTGTAGGTCAGGGGGCACATTTCGGTGCAGGACGCTGAATATGATGAATACGGTATATCACAGCATCTTAGCTTAATGTGGAAAGAAACTCCGAAATCAAACAGGTGTAAGGCATTGCTAATTTGGTTTAGGTGCTAGTAAACCCAGAATCATAATAATGTAAATCAGGGATTCA